GCCGTGGGAGCTGAGGTGTGATGGTTGCTAACCTGACAGGTTTGTCTTCTCCCCCTTGCAGGTGACACGATGGCTCCCCGACCACCTGGCCGCTCACTGCTACGGCTGCGACAGCGCCTTCTGGCTCGCCAGCAGGAAGCACCACTGCAGGTATCTGAGCAGCAGGGAGGGATGGGGGCCAGGCCAGCACTCGGATCTTCCCTCTGCTCTTAGGCCGGGAAGGGCTCCGTTTTGCCTCGAAGTTCCTTAGTGAAGGATGGGTGTCGGGGTAGGAGTGGGAGCTCCTGCAGGAGCCAAGGGCTCTGAGGCAACAGGGCAGCTCCTGTTCGGCTCCAGCTCACTGCATCTGTGCATGAGGAGCCACGCTGGGTGTCTGTTACGCCCTGGCCCAGGTGGATCCCAGCGTTTTCTCTCGAGCTGGATTTGGAGACAGCTGGCTCTTTAGCTTAAGGTGATGAAAATAACTTAAAAAATAGTCGTGTGTCTCCTTTGCACTCAGTAGGGGCCTTTGGATTGGATCGTTTGGAAATCTGAAATTCTGTCTTAGTTTCATTTCTGTTAAATCCCTATTCCTGATTTCTGGCCATGAGAAAATGATCACAAAAACTGTCATTGAAATAAATGGCAGCTACCACGTTTTGATGCTTCGGTGCTTTTTGAAGTAGTGAAGAACTGAAAGCATCCTGAGCCCCCTCTGAACTTTGCTTCACTTAAAATTCTTGTGAAGATAAACAAACCAGGGAAGAATGAATGAGGAATTGAATGAGATGGATTTTTTTTTTTCAAGTTTCATATCCACTGTGTGTGCAGATGTAATTGCTAAGCATCCTTACACACATCTGAGGGGTTCTATAGGAGTTCAGAGAACACTTTCGTGTGTCTCTTGTGGTGCCTGTGGTGAAGTGCCCCAATCCATCACCGTCTCCCTGCCCGTGGCTCCCCTAGGCCTGCTCCCACTTTGCTCCCACATCGCAGTTTTGCAGGCCTGGACTCTGGGGAGCTCCCAGAGCTGGTGTGCAGCCTGAACACCTCCAGCACCACGAGGAGCTGAGATGGATGCAGGGTCTGGAGTCCTGTTACAGGATTCCTTTGGTGTCTTTGTTCTGTGCTTTCCAATGCCTGATGTGGGTTGGCCAGGCCGTCCATGTGAGCTCTTGTTGGTAGAGAGCAGGAAGGGCTGCTATCCCAGCTGACAAGAAAAGCAAGCATTTGCCTTGTGTGCATTGTTACCAAGCACAGCAACTGGTGAGTCTGCTCACCTGCCTGTCTGAGGGTGAGAGTGACTTAGAAGCACATTTCCAACGTGAGCAGGATAAAAGTACCCAGCTTCCTTCATTGCCAGTTTGCTTCTGTTGCTGTTCCCTCTGAGCTCTTCCTTCCCTCCTTGCAGGGACACTGAACGTGTTGATCAGATCTGGTGAGCATTTACAGCAGCCTCTGCCTGTTGTCTGTCTGCATTTTCTCAGTAACTTCTCCAAACTAACTCAGGCTCCTCCCCCTGTTTTTCACCTGGCTGGAAAGCTCCAAAAATAAGCTGTGGGTGGCTGCTGGATGCTGAGATTGATAAAACAGGCTTCTCTTTCCACAGGAGGGCACTGAGGCTTGGCTTCTGGTAGCTGAAACTGTGGTGTGGATGACACTAACTGTCACCATCAGCAATGGTGTGTTTGAGTAACAGAATGCTGCAGTGCTAACTGGGAAGAGGTTAACCTTCTAGTTCAGCCATTTATCTCTTAGCTTCCATTCTTTCTCTTTTTGCATTAATTCTGAGAGGTGTCAGTGTGTTAGCAAGCCATGCAAGTGTGTGCATGTTGATGGAAAAGGATTGATGCTGATTTTGGAAGGACTGTGGCAATAAGAGGTAATGCAGGGCTGGGAGAGAGGTGGTGTCTCACAAAATGGGTGAACGTGGATAATTTAGTGCAAGGAGCTCTTGGTGGTGTGGCTTTAAGTCGCCTGCCCTCCAAGGGGAGAGATGTCTAACATCTCCAGATCCCTCGTGCACAGCAGTGGGGTGCACAGAAAGCTGCTCAGGGCAGAGCAGTTCCACAATGCTGTCACAGAAAGACAAAAGGACAACAAATAAGTGCTGTGTTAGGAAGCTGGTGAGCTGCAACAGACAGATCATGGTTTTCCAGTCCCTCTGGTTGTTTCTGACCCGATCCATCTGCAGTAAGTTTCTGTGGATAACTGCTCTTTGAACAGCAGCAATGGGAGCTGACAGCACAGATCACACCTCAGCAATTCGTTTCACTGCTGCTGGCTTTTCTAGCAGTAATTTCTGACAGATTCCTGAAGGCTTCCAGCCCGCAGCCCCAAGCTGGCCATCGTGACGTTCTGCTCGGGTTGTGGCACTGAGATCCACAGCTGCTGTGCAGAGCTGCAGAAGTCAGCCCTGTGAATGGGAAATGGCATTTCTCTGCTGGCTGTTCCCCATCAGTGCCATGTATCTGGGAGCCCCATCTCTTGGCAGCGAAGCATTAATGGAAGCTGCTGGGTGTAAGCAGAGCTTCTTGTCACTCTTGGCAGCAGCAAATCTTTTCCTGCACAAATCGGTAGTGGCGTAAAGTCCCGATGCCAGAGTTGATGAGAAGGGAGCGGGGCCTGGAGGTGAATGGCAGACTGCAGGGCTGTGCCGGGAGCCCTGAGCGGCCTGCCGAGGCGTGCAGCATGCAGGGAGGGCTGCAGGAGCAGCAGGGGACGCTTCCCACACTTCACCTAACCCTGTGAGTCGCATGCAGTGGGCGCCCGGCAGCAGTGCATCCCTGCGGCACAGCCTGAGCATGGCACCGTGCACCGCGTGCTCCTTGCCGACAGCATTGCTGTGAGCGACGTGTGGTGCTGGGGATGGGGCAGGGCAGCACGGCTGGGAGGACTGCATCACCTGTGCTGGTTCTGTGCCGGTTCCGTGCTGAACCCTTCCGGCAGCGCACTTGAAAGAGGAGCAGCCGCTGTGTGCCGTGGTTTCCCTCACATCCTCTCTGGTGTGGAGCTCTGCAGGGCTGTCTGTGTGTCCTGGTGCTTAGGGACAAACAGCACTGCAGCACCGCGAGTAGCACAACTCTACAACCGTTAACCTCATCCAACTGCTGCTAATGTTGTCTTTTCCATTTCTCCTCTGTTCCTGACACAAGGAATTGCGGAAACGTGTTCTGCTCCAGCTGCTGTAACCAGAAGGTGCCGGTTCCCAGCCAGCAGCTCTTTGAGCCCAGCAGAGTCTGCAAATCGTGCTACAGCAGCTTGCACCCGAGCAGCGCCAGCCTGGATCTTGAACTGGACAAACCCATCACTGCCACGTCAAACTAAAGGCCGGGCCGGGAGGCGGCGCCCCTCCGTGGCAGAGGTGTGTGATCCTGTGACCCCAGCGGGCCGAGACCGGAAGGACGAGGGGCGAGGAGCTGCTCAGCGGGACGGAGCTCACCGTGCTGCTGCAGTGCGGGCATCTCCTCTTCCAGCTGTTCCCTTTCCTTTCTGTCCTATCCTGTGTGTGTGCGTGTACGCGCCTGTGTGTGTGTGTATATAATAATATATATGTTTGCTTGTTTGCTGGAAGGTCGTACAGGCGGGAAGGGAGCTGGCACCAGAACCAGGTCTCCCTTTTGTATTTCACTGTCCCACTGCTGAACTGCGTTGCAGACAATTTGGTGGAGGAAAGGAGACGAGGGGAATCGGCGCAGGCGGTGCGCGAGGTGAATCACTGCAGCCCCAGCGCCGGTGCTTTCAATCACTCCTGTTACTTCCAAACAAGAAACTGCTGTTTGGGAACTTGTTGCTGCTAGAAGAAGTGGGAATCTTTTTCCCAAGAGAGCACTCTGCCTCTCTGTTCTTAGAGTGCGTGAAGGGGATCGCGGGTTGTGCTGCCGCAGCCCCGTGCTGCTGGCTGGGCACAGCTGGGCAGTGCTGGCTGCAGGAGCAGCGGGTGCTGGTGAGAGGTGAGGAGGGGCCGAGCGTGGCGTCACACCAACGCCTCTATCTGAAGGAGTGTAATTGCAATTCCTTATTCAAAACCGAGTGGGGAAGGAGCAGCCCTCTGATTTGTGTCCCTGTCCCACCGTAGGCCGGTTTGCTCGGCGCAGAGCTCCTTATCTGCACTTTGGGGAGGGCGCTCAGAGCAGCAGCACTTCCAGCTGTGCTGCGCTGCACTGCTGCTGCATTTGGTCCCTGAGGAACGCGCTGTGCCGCAGCCTTCTGCCACGGCTGCTCCTTTTCCAGTGTGCTCCAGACAGGGAGGAGCTGCCTGAGGGTTCTAGCAGGGCTCTCGCAGTACATCGCGATTCCCCTCCTTCCTTCTGCCCCAGCCTGGGTTGCTTTCCGAGTCACCTCAATCAGCTGTGGATTTCCTCAGTGTCCGTTCTTACTGAGCGTTAGGCCCTCGGCCCCTTCTCCCTTGTAGCAGAGCAGTGTTGCTCAGTGCAGCCGGGCAGCAGGGATGCAGCTGGCCACGTCGTGCTCTGCAGCGTGTGCCTGGCCTGGCTCGCACCTCCTGCACTGCTCTGCAGGACAAAACAATCCTGTTGAGTATCTGAGAGCTGAAAGAAATAACGAACAATCCTCGGGAAGGGAGCGCTGCCCTTCCCTGCAGCGTCACAATCTGCTCTGCAGTGTCAGGCAGAGGCCATCTCGTGAAGGCTGGTGGGGAAAGAAGTGACGCAGAGCTTCCTGTGCTGGCGTTGCTGCGCTCTGAGCTGAGGTGTGGGGGCAGAAATGGCACAGGAAGGGGCCTGGGAGCAGCAGGAGAGAAAAGCAAAGAAAAAGCTGGGTTCTGCCGTGGAATTTTGTCTGTTTTCTCCTGACCTGAGGGCGCTGTGCCGGCAGAGCTGGGGCTGCTGCGGTTGGATGTTGGATGTTGGATGTGGAGCAGAGGCTGTGAGACAACAGCGGCGTGCGGCGCGTCAGAAACACGCGTGGGTTCTGCAGTTGTAAGGACAGGTGCCAAGAGGTTTGATACGGGTTTCTGGGCTCTGTGATGTACAGTGTGAATAAATGCTTGCAGCTCTTAGTCTTTTTTTGATCGACGAAGCACTTTTTTATTAATATTATTTTTTCTTTGTATGTAAAGGAGGAAGCAGTATCTCTCCATAGCTGTACATATAACCTGTCTCTCCTGCAGAGAGTAAAGTGCTCCTATATTTTTCATTTTTGTCAAAGCGAGAAGTAAATACTTTAGAATTGTTAAATATATAAATAAAAGTGAATAAAGTTTAGCGTTTTTGCATGGGAGCATTCGCTGACACACGGCCCAGTTCTTTGCCTTTCCTTCCTGCCTCCCAGCAGCAGGGCAGGACGCAGCAGGGCTGGGCAGGGCAGCCTCCCTTGGGTCTCGCCTTTCTCCCCATAACTCAGCCCCTCCTTCAGTGCCTGCTGCCCCTCTCGCCTTTGGAAGAGCGGATTTTCCACTCCTCCCCCTGCAGGGTCATGGCTGTGCTCTCTCACACCTGCATGCTGGGCGACCTCAGGGCCAGCGGTGGCATTTGCAGCTTCAGGAAGAAAATGCAGCAACTGTTACAGACGCGCAGAGGAGCAGCGGGTTTCAATTACAAGATTTTAGGGAGCTCCTCTTGTGCTTGAGTCACTCCTCCGTGGTGCTGTGCAGCTGGGAGCCCTGTGCTGTGCCGCCTCAGAGCAGCGCCCGCAGAGCTGCTCCCTGGTGGTTGCTGGGCACGGCGCACAGGTGAGGCAGTGTTTGCTTTGGTGGAGCAGCGCGGGATTCCGATCTCCAGCGTGCGTCAGAAGTGATGTCAGCATCACTTGCAGCACCGCTGTGACACACGAAGGAAATGAATAAGCTTGCTGGAGGTCAGAAATGATTTTTCTTTCATTCTGGTACTGACGTGTCCGGCCTTGATGGGATCTGAGTGATGGGGTTGATGCGATTTACCCCCTCGCAGGGCTGTTATGGAGCAGCACTGGGCAGCAGCGCTGCCTTTGATGTGCCGTAGTGACTGCTTTTGTTGCCCACCTCTGCTGCCCGTGGAGCTCAGTGAGCAGGGATGGGGTGTCCAGCCAGGAGCAGTGCAGCAAAGCCTCTGCTTTGGGTCACCTTTAAGCCCAGCAGAGCTGCTCTGGGGCAAGGGAGAAAGAAAGAACCAAAAGCACGACTTAACCAACCAGTGAGCACTGATGGTTTTGTGATGGCAGCGCGGGCAGGGAGGAGGTGAGCAACTTCTGGTCAGAAAGACTTTGTTTCATCCGGGCAGTGTGAGCCAGGGCTGCAGCTCCTGTGGAGGCACCACCAAGAAAACGCCGTTGGAGCACAGACAGCACTGGAGAGCAGCTCTGTGAATGAGAAAAAACAAAGGTTTTCTGTTGTAAATCTAAATAATTTCAGTTTTTCGTTGCTTTTCTTTATAACAAAGTCAGTTAGCACTCAGCTGCCGCTTCGAGTCACTGATCCTGACAGCGATCGGATCACTCAGCATTTGCCTAAAACACAGCAAGAGCATCTCGACATCTCCCGCTGGCTGCATCTGCACCGGCAGTAAGGCAGCACCAGGGGGTGCTGGGGGGGGGTTTGCCGTGTGCCCTGATGGCAGCGTCCGCCCGGTGCCTGCAGCTCCCCGAGGCGGCTCGGATCGCTCCGTGCACGGCCGCAGGGCGCCCTCCTCCCCTAAGGAATGGGGTTGGCTTCCGATCAAAGCGCTCAGCAAACCGAGCCGACGTGTGGCGACTGGGGCTGGCAATGTTTGATACCTTTGTGGATGATCTGCACGAGGGGATTGCGAGCCCAGCAGCAGCTCTGCAGGTGCCACCATGCTGGGAGGAAGTGTGGATGTGCCTGAGGGCAGGAAGGCCCTGCAAGGAACCGCGGGGACCTTGGTGTGTGTCCAGGGAAGGGCTGTGGAGCTGTGCGGGGTCTGGATGCGTTGAGTTCTGACAGGGAATGAGGGAGCTGGGATGGCTCAGCCTAAAGAGGAAAAGGCTCAGGGGAGACGTTATTGCTGCAGCTCCTGGAAGGAGGTTGTGGTGAGGTGGGGATTGGCCTCTGCTCCTGGGCAACAGCAACAGGACGAGAGGTGATGGCCTCAAGTTGCACCATGGAAAGGACCTCAGTGGTCCTTTCCAACCTTCATGATTCCATGGTTCTATGAGTGGGGCTGCTGTGGATGTTTGTCTCAAAGCTGCACCGGTGCTCTGGGTCCAAACGCTTGTGCAGACCCAGCCACCGCTGCCCTGGAGACGGAAATACCTCTGTTCAGCAGCGACCCCCATCGGGGGCTCGCCGTGCTCCCTGCAGCTGCCTCGGGTGCAACCTGAGCGTCTCCGTTACCTGTCTGAGTCACAGCCTGCTGCCCGCGGGGCTGCCGTCGTACACCAGGGCGCCGTCCAGGGTCGACTCCTCGGCGCTGTAGCTGCCGTTCTCCAGCTCTGCAGCCGCGGGGCAGAGTTCCTGCCTGCACCACCTGAACACAGAACGCGGCGGTTTGTCCGAGCCGTGCTGCGCACGCAACGCCGGCTGCTCCCGAGGGTTTCCCCGAGTTGGACGATTCTCGTCGCTGCGGGGTGGAGATTCCCCAGGGTGCAGAGAATGGCAGCGATGCTGCTGGGAACCAACCCACAAGGGTGTTTGTCTCCACCCGGGATGTGAAGTTCGGGTCTGACCGCAGCGTGGCCCCCATGCAGGCAGAGCAGCGCTGCGGCACGAGAGGTCACCTAACGTGGTCAGAGCCAGGGGCTTTGCTTACCTCTGAGCGGCACAGACATCAAGGAGGGAGGAGCCAGGCCGAGCCGCGTGCTCAATTAGCAGAGCTCCTGCGAAAGGACGAGGTGTGTCAGTGCTGCTGGGCTTCGGGTGGCTGAGCTGCTCAGCACTGCTTCCCGTGCTGAGCTGCCTCCGCTGGAAAGGAGGTGGGGACAGCAGGCCGAGCAGCCTGAGCTGTGGGCGTCCCTGCTTGCCCTGGGGGAGTGGGACCAGACGGCCTCTCAAGGTCCCTTCCAACTCAAGCTGTTCTATGATTGCACGACGGCTTTCTTTAAAACTCCGCTCCTGAGCTGGAGCGAAGCCTGGGGACAGCAGGACAGCTCACAGCCCTCCTGCTCTGAAATTCACCTCTGTCCTCCCTACCTGCATAGATCCTTGCTAGGGAGTAGGAGAAGTCTCTTGCTGCTAGCTCCATGGGCGCTGCCCCTTCGGAAGCAGCTCCTCGGCAGAACCGTGCGAGGCGGCCGGCGGCATCCTGCACAGACTGCGCTGCGGCCTGCAGCTCCGCGCTGCTCCAAGCCGACTCCAGTTTGTTCTGCAAAACAATCACGGGAGGCGCGTTGACCTGCGTGGCACCGAGGCCAACGAGGGGTCGGCTCCGAGCACCTGAGGGGCTGCGGGTGTCCCTGCTCACTGCAAAGTGCTTTCCTCTGAAACGAGGCCCTCAGCGCTGTGCCGCACCTCTGCAGCGCTCACATCCCTCCCTGCAGCGAGGCTGAGGGCAGAACGGGAACACGTTTGGATTTACGCTGTTTGTCATTCAGTCTCCTTTGAGGCCATTCACAAACCAACACCTACCAGCACCTGCAGCGTCGCTGCCGTTCCCCCAGCAGCACAGCAAAGCAGCGGTGCTCAGCCTGTGCAGCCAAACCTGTTCTGTTTTCTGTACTGCTTCTACAACAACACCCTGGGCAGCGCTGCCTGCCTACAAGGACGGCGCAGTGCTGTTCTGCTGTTCTGCACTCGAGGCAAAGCAGCACAGGAGCGCTCGCAGGAGATGCTGTACGAATACAAAAAGCCCATCATTAATGGGCCAAGACAAAGTGCAAAGAACCCTCCGAGCCAGAGAATGCCCATGAGGTGGTTTAAAAGTGGATCAAAGTCCCCAGGGGCACAAACGTATCCCCAGCAGCTTGGGTGGCAGCCAGCGCTGCGCCGTGCTGCAGACAGGCCCAGGCCACGCTGCCCTGGCTGTGCTCCCAGGCCAAGGGTTGTCTGAATGGTTTTCAGCAGCACAGCGATCAGCGGCAGCATGGAGAGCATCAGAACGGGGCTGGAAGCACAAGTGTCAGCTCTGTTGTTCTGTGGGCTCTCACCTCAGTAAGCTGCGCTGATTTCCTGCTGTGCTGAAGCTGTGATTTGGAAAGGAGCTGAAACCATACAGCCCAAACTCTGCAGACCCCTGCATCACGTGTCCCAGTCCCAACTGTTCCAATCAACGTGAGCCTGTAGAGGCCAGCTTCTTTCCAGGCCATTTTTAGAGCCTACCACCCTCTCCTCCACTCTCTTCAGTGTCAGACTGAACTGCTTGTTAATTAGTGGCTCTGCTCGTTAGTCCTGCTTATGAGCAAACGTGGCTTTCTTGTTTGATGGTCACATTGTTTGAGGCATTTTTCCGGCAATGGAAGTTGTACGAGAGGATGGTAAGAACCCGTGTTGGAGCTCAGGGCCCAGCTGCAGCCCTGTGAGCAGTCAGGTCTGGTTAATGCGTCCGGGAGGAAGCAGAGGATGGAGCTGCTCCCTCCAGGATGCACCAGAGCCCACAGCTCAGCTCGTGTCAGCGCCACGCTCTGCACTTCACTTCCCATTCTCCCTTCTGCTGGAGCTGTGCTGAACGGAGCCCACAGAGGCACCACCTCTGCCCTGCGCCCCAAAGCAAACTGAGTGCTGAAGGCAGAGAAGCAGCCCAGAACTCTCACTTCTTCTCGTGGGGGATGAGAAAGCAACGTCTGCAGGTGCTGAAATCCAGCAGCTTAGGATTCCCAAGCACAGCTGTGTGCTAATGGTCTGAATTGCTCTACCTCAATGAATAATCCAATTCCTGAGGGAACATCCTCTGATGTGGTGATCGTGCCTTCCGGGCTGCTTTGTGCGCCCCTTGATGGCACGGATTCTCATTTACCTTCAGGAAATTTGAGCTTCTTTGAACTCTCCGTGGCTGCCTTTGCCTGAGCGCCTTTAAAGGAGCAGCCTGTGGGTAAGGGCAGGGAGCTGCACCTCCAAGGAGGCAGCAGTGGGATTCCTTTGGCTCTTTCCGTCTTTTCAGTGGGAATAAAAATAGAAAGTCATATTGCAGAAGGTGGCCCTGGAGAAGGTTTCAGATTTATCAGACTTGTGCTGCTTTTGCAGCTTAAGGAAAAACAACAGAGCAAAACAAACAGAAAAACCCCACAAAACTGATTTGGGGCTCAGGGAGGTGACTCACATTAAAAATAAACTCACATCGGTGCCTTTCCTGAAGAACAGACAGTGCACAGCTCCTCATTGGAGAGATGAAATTATCTGCGTTTTTTGCAGCACGCAAGGATCCCAAAATCAACACTGCCTGTGCTCTGCTTTTGTAAGTGCCATTTAAAAAGCAGATTGTGAAACAACTCGGAGTGCTTGTCCTAAGCCATGAGTTTGGGCACGTTCTCTAGCAGTCTCAGCCAGAAGCACCAACACCAAGGCTGCCAAAGCATCAAAGCAGGCTTACTGGTGCTTTGCTGAGGGCTCACCTGCACTGTGGAGAAGAACACGGCCATCGCCTGCCCCCGGCTCTTGGTGAGGGACCTCAGGACGTCGAGCGATAGGACATTTGTTGTTCCTTCCCATATGGACAGCACCTGCGTGATAGGAGGGACTGTGAGAGCACAGAGGAGCTGCTGGGGGCTGAAAGCTGCCAGAAAGGACAGCGAACGTGAGGCTGCAGAGCTACAGAGTAACAGGAGATCCAGACAATCTCCAGGGATTTCCTGCCTGACCACAAGTGGAAAGAAGCTCTGGTGAGGAGAGCTAGGGGGTGAGTCTGGGACGTATGGGAACTGCTGACCCTGGCCTGAAGCACTGATTGAAGAGTGACTGAATTGAGGTGAAGGCAGTTCAGCTGTGATAGGAAGGGATGGAGCCTGGCTGCACCTCTCTTAGGCCTCACTGAAGGGCTGGCTGCTCACTGGGGAAGGATCTCTTTCTGGTGATCCCTCCTTGGTGGAGCTTTGCCCTGCAAACCTGGAATCTTCTGATAGGGGTGAGCAATCTTCTTCCCTTCCTTTGTAGCACCTCTTTATTGTCCCAGTCCTTTTGTCATTACATCTCTGTTGTGATGCCTTTCCCGTTGTGCTGATCTGTCCAATCCCTACAGGTCTGTGTTTTCATTTGAGCCTGTCTGTGCCAGGCAGCTAAGAAGGGATGAAGTGAGGCAAAAGCTTTTCCTGCTGTTCTCTTACCAGAGTATCACGAACTATGACTGGTAAGCCTGTATCCTCCATGTAACCTTGTCCTCCAAAAGACTCCATTGCCTCAATAGCAACGGCAGAAGCCTGCAAAAAAAAGCAGAGAGCCAACATAATACACAACGCACAGAGGGAGAAAGTGGCCAGAAACCTCTGACATCACACTGCAGTTCCTGCCAGGATAGGACTGCCGGGCCCCTGAGCTGCTGAGGCAGGCTGCTGGTTACACAAGGGGAGCTGCAGCCTGGGGAATGGAGACTGAGCAACACTGGGAGGAGATGTGGGAGCAGTCAGAGCTGGGGAGAACCTCCAGGAGGGGTGTTTGTCACTGGAGTTCTCTCTAAGTAAGGGCAAAACTGTGCTTGCTTGGTGCATAAAGGAGGTGCCTGTATCTCAGGAGAATCTTTGCCACCTGCTTGCCTACGATGTGTAAGCTTCTGTATCCAAGCTGATGGCAGGTAAGGAGGGGCTGGATCCCCGAAGTGAAGGCTAATGCGACTAACACTGCTACCTCTCTTCTGTTTATTCATAACTAGAAGGATATTTCCTGTGGCTCAGGGTCCCAACTTGGCCTTGGAGCACAGGGAGTTCTGCTAAAGCCTCAGCACCATTCCTCTGTGGCAGACGCAGTGCATCAGAGCGCTTGCTCTGCCTGTTGTCCCCATGGCTCGCCTGCTGGAAGGACCCTGGTGTGCTGGGTGCTTCCTGAGAGCAGGGTTACAGGTCTCCCAATTGAAAGCCCAGCCTTAGTGCAGAGCAGCCATCATGCTGCAGGCCCTGCAGGGCGGTCGCTCGCTGCCTGTACCCCTGCTCCTGCTGCCCTCTGTGTTGGCTGTGCTACAACATCTCTTTTCCAGCTCTTTGGGAACGCACAGCCCTGCTCCAGACAAACCCATTGCTTGTTCCATACCTGCTTCCCCGTGTACAGTTTGGCAACTGGAACAAGCAGTCTCAAGAGGAGCTGGTCCTGCTCGCTTGCCATGTTGGTTTCTGCAAGTCCAAGCAGCCGAGCCATCTCCATAAGGAGAAGAAAAGCCCCTCGTGTCTGCACCTGTGTGGGGAGAAGCAGGGAGCTTTGCTGGCGTGGGTCCTGAGCTCAGACTGGTCCCAGCCTGGGCTGCTGAGGTGCCACGAGCCTGTCTGGAAGTGGCAAAATCCAACCCTTCCCAAAATTGTCTTCAGAGACAAAGACCAGCGACCAGCAAGGCACGTGTTAGAAGCAGCCCAGTATGAAGAAAGGAATGATGCCATCTCCCTGGGCCTAACAGGAGCCTTATCAAAGCTTCCATCAGGCACCCAGGCCACAAATCCACGCTCCTCCAAATGATAATGGACACGAGGCTGCACCTCTGAGAGTCTCAGACCACCAGACTTGCAAAGTCTTTGGCAGATTCCATGTGACATTTGACATGCTGCCTTGGCAAGCTGCAATGTGCCAAGCACTGGGAGATGGAGATTTGTAGCTCCTGTGTGTGATGGTGTGCTGTGGGACTGCGTGGGATCTGGCCTTTCTTTTGGAGGAAGCTCTGGCCGTAGAATGCTACAGGCTAGGAGATGCTAGAGCTTTAAACTGGGAGATGCTGGAGCTTTAAATTGGGAGATGCTGGAGCTTTAAATTGGGAGATGCTGGAGCTTTAAATTATGCTTGGCAGCTGTTGGGGTAACATTCCCTCTCCTCCTTGCTCCGTTCTGCATGCAGAGTTTTAAATGCTGGTTTAAATCTTTGCACTACTGCAGCCCAAGAATGAACAGTGCTGTTACACCAGCTAAAAGAAACAGTGCCTGGATGGATGAGGAGAACTGTGTGCCTTCTTTTTGAAGTTCTGGCAGTGGGAGGAAGCTGCTGTGTCTCGGGTTTAGTGGGCTGCTCCAGCTCAGCTTTGAGGCAGAGCTGTGAGACGCTTTGCCACGAGCGAAGGCCCACAGCCAGAGCCCCAGCTCACTCCTCTCCTCTACCACTTAACCATTATTTCACTGGATGCAAATTACATCTGGAGGCTGTATTCAAATGGGTGCCTCGTGGTGGTGAGCACTGTGTGGGCACACTGACAGCAAAGCCATCTCTGAATATGCAGTGTGCCTCCTCGGGGGTCCTTACAGCCCGCTGAGAACAGAGCAGTTCATCTCCTGTTGTGTGAGCTGCCAGCTGTGCTGCGTGGCTCTGCGTCAGCCCTGCACGTCTGTTAAGTGCAGCTCAGGAGGCCGTGGTGCCTTGCTTGGAAGCTGATGTAATGACTGACCCCAGAGGGCACAGCACAGTGGAAGCACACTGAGCTCTGGCGTCCCTCTCACAACAGCTCCAGGTCATTGCTGTTAGGGAAACCTACAGTGCAGCACAGAAGCCAGACCCAGCATCAGCTCAAATCCCAGCAGACTGTGGCAATTCCCAGCTCCCTATGCCTCATCTCCACACGGAGCCAGACTGGCTGTGCCCTCAGGCCACCGAGGATCCTTGTCCTCTTTCTGTTTTCCCAGACTCGGCTCTGCTCCTGCAGCCTTACCTCCATCCGGGCGATCGTCTGCACGTGCAGGGGATGATCTTTGAGGAGCTTCCCGAAGGCAACCCGTTTTAGGGCATACTGCCTGCTCAGACTGATCATCCTGGGGAGAATACAGACAGTGCAAGGTGTCAGAGAAGCATCTTTCCTACTTCCTTTCCAGGCTTTTCCTTCCAACCATCCTCACTGGATGAGCTTTGCCTGGCTCATTCCAGCCCACACACAGGCCAGCTCTTTCCAGCACTGCTGGCTTCCAGACCCGTGCCTGCAGAGGCAGTGCTGAGCACTGCAAACTCCCCCGTGCTCATAAGCTGTTCCTTCAGCTCTGGGGGGATCCGTGCTGCCTTCACCTTCTCATGGAAGCTACTGCACCGATGACGTTGTGGATCCGAGTTATGTTCAGCATGTTGGAGATGGAGGCCACTCCACGACCTTCTGCAGAGATCTGAAACCACCAAGGAACAAAGGTTGGAGCCGAAGCACCTCCCTCTCAGTAAGAGATGTGCCCAAAGGCAGACAGATGCAGCCATCCACTCTGCTTCTGTCTATCCTCCAGTGGCAGAGAGACCTGCTTGCTTTGGAACACTGCTGTCTCATTTTAGCCACATGGCATAATCAGAGAGATTTGGGGACCAGCGGGAGTCAGCGTGATCAGTTCTGGTTCCTGGCTGCTTGTTCTACCTGTATGCTACGCAGAACTGTCCCTCAGCTGGGCTCATGCAACTGCATCAGGGAAATGACCAGCTTAAAACCACTTTCTTTTTTCTCCTGCACGATTTTCCCTGAGCCATTCACAGCTTCAACAGAGCCCTGCTGGGGAAGGATTCTGCGGAATGAGCAGCCAGCCCCGGATGTGGGACATAGCCCCACTTGTTCAGGTGGTATCGCTGCCAACCCCTCCAAGAGCAGCCTGCCTTGCCGAGCCCGCCGAGTCCCGGGAGGAGGGGCAAACCTCACTCACCAGCTCTGCTTTAGCTCCATTTAGCCACAGCTCTGCTGTCGCCATCTGCCGTGTGCCCAACTTCGCTTTCAGTCTTTGCACTTGGATACCATTCAGCTTTTCCTCCTCATCTCGAACCCTCAGGAAGAACAGGGACAGCCCGCCGGAGCCCTGGGGTCGTTCGAAAGGCATGCAGAGAAGATTTCATGACAATGAAAAAAGGAAGTTAAAAGTTCCCCTCCTCCCCCAGGCGTTCCACCGCAGAACAGACCTGTTTCACACGTCCTTCAGCATCCTCTATCCTGGCCAGGGTCAGTGCCATATCAGAATCAGCAGCTGATGTAAACCATTTAAAACCATAGAGATGATATGTGCCATCTGGCTGCTTTCTGGCCACCGTCTCTGTGCCATTAGCTGCAAAAAAGGAGCAGAAGATCACGGCTTTACAGGAACTTCTGTATCAATCGATGCTGATTTTCAGTTTAAGCAGCAGCTCTTTAAGTCGCCCCATGCTGCCTGGATGAAATATGGATTAGCTGCTAATCTCTTTCACTGACGCTGGATAAGAAATGCAGCCAGAGTTAAGAACTGGAAAGGAAAAATGTTCAGTTTAGCTGCAAGTCTACCCAGCAACAGCCCAATCTAACAGTGGTAAGGCAGTGCTCTGTAAGCAAAACGTGCTGTGTTTGTAATACAAGGCCTCTGTTTAGGAGCTACCTCAGCCAAGAGCCACAAGGGATGCCATCATCCAGAGCCCCGCAATGATGCCACCTCTGTAGCTCTCCCTGCACAGCTGATCCAACTCCACAGCTCCTCCAACTGGGAAGAGGGTTCATCAGAGGCAGGTGACTCCCTTTCCTGCAGTGGGGTCCTGAGGTTTCCCAGCTATTGCAATCATTTGCCAAGGGCCAAAGCTGAAGGTCAAGGCTGCTCCTCAGTCCCAGCTGCCCTGCTCAAGGTTTGGATCACAGAGCAGCCATCAGAGTGCGACGTGAGCAAGGAGCAGAGCTCCGTACCTGTGAGCAGTGCACAGAGGCTGGGCCTTCTGTTGGCCAAACACAGCTCTGTGTGTAGGATTTTTTGGACGTTCTCAGCCCTCCCTGGCACACCTGGCTGCTGCCCACCCAGCACGTACCAACATCAGAGCCCCCCCGGCGCTCAGTCATCCACTGGCCAGAGGTCCAGAACTTCCTGGGGTCACGAGATGTCAGACGGTCAAAAGCATTTCTCAGAGATGCAGGAACACCCAGGGACTGTTTGGGGGGAGGGAAAAGAAACCAAAATCATACCGAAGTAGATGCAATTAGACATTTGCCTTAATTAACACTGGCTTGTCCTACGAGCATCCTCACCAGGCTCAGAATGGGTTGTCTGCAGTCAGGGCTGTCCTGCACTGCATCTGTTTGCACTGCTGGCAATGTGAAACCACCTGGCTTGAGTGCAGCTGCACCGCGTGGGCAGGAAGTGTGGACTGAGGAGTGCTGAGCAGCACTGCTCACCTTGAACTGCTGCACTGCTTGACAGCTGGGCAGAGCTCCCAGGGCAGCACCAGTACATCTGTGTGCATCTTTGGATGTCACCAGCATCCAGGAAAAGGTAATTCCCTTGTGGAATTTTGTTTCTCTTCAGTTAGGATGCCCAGGGTTAGCTACTTTCTGCCTTGCTTTTCCCTGCACCCCACATAGCTAGTTACATAGTGCAAAGGTGTCTCTGAAACACAGCCAGACCTTCAGACTGGGAAGCCTTGATAGCTCAGATCCATCCATCACGTTTGGATCTGGCTCAATTCATTTAACTCCTGCTCCACAGAGGGGACAGGGAAAGAAGGCTGTTGAACCTCGTAGTAAGAAAGGTGGGACAACTTTCCAGCTCCTGCAGTGCTACTGCAGGGTTTGTATGCAGTAGAGGCCTGGCTGTGCAAGTACTGTATGCAAACATAGAAGCTGGCCTGGGTGCACAGGCTGTAACTGAAGCAGAAAGTCAGGTGGAGGGAGATGGAGCTGAGTCACAGAGCAAGGCAGGGCCACGTCCAGAGCCAGAAGGCAGATCAGCTCTCCCTGGTCCTCGGCCAGCTCTTCAGGACGTGGGCTGTGTCTTCAGAGAGCAGCTCAGCTCATACCTCAATGACTTTGGCTGCTCCATCAGTCATGGCCAGCGGACAGTTGAAACCCCCAGAGGCGGTTGAAAACAAGTACAGTTTGACAGCTTGGTGCACACGGCTAGGAGAGAGAGTGAAAACAGACGGGATTCACAGCAGTTCAGCAGCAGGAGGATATGCAGGTGTCTTGACTAGGAACAGAGGGGAAAAACACAGCCAAAATGGGTTGGTTAGACCATTCGTTTCTAGGAGAGAAGAAACGGCTTCAACCACGAAAGCAGAAGCAGAGCAGAAATGTTTCTTGGTCCCAGAGGAATTGTGAGCGTGGGGCTGGATGGAAGGCAGCGATTGCCATCTGGTGCACATCAAGTGCACGTCTCAAAAATAAGAAATCTGGGTCTATCTCCAGAGGCTGGAACACAATGAAACTGCAAGTAAAATTCCAGACTTCTGTGTTACGAGTAGTGCATGTAAAGCTGGAGCAGCTCAGGGAAGCCAGGCCCCAGAATGAGGAAAGCGACGCCAGAGAGTATTATGATCAACTGCAGGCCATTAGTTACACCTTATCACTGCTGATGTGGAACATTGCAATGGACAGGCGCTGCTGTTCAGTACAGCAGTAGGTGTGCTTTGGTTCACGCATCACCTCCTACCCATTACAAAACAATTCAGTCCTTCCAGATGCTGAACACAGCCTGCAGGACACCAAGTCACTCCCATCCCACCCAGTTACCTCCAGTTGGAGTATCTTCTCTCATAGGCCTCAGCAATCAGCCCCTCCTCTGCTGCAATCTCCTTCATCCTCTTCCAGGCTGAGCAGGTGACAATGTGATCCACCCGCTGCCCCCAGGCGTCGTACTGCCAAAATACAGGGGGATTCAACTCACATTCCCATCCCAGAGGTCCGATCTTGGTTAGCAGACGGTTTCCAAACCCCTCCAGCTCCTGGCTCACCTCCTCCAGTACCTGTGAAGCAACGAGAGCCTTTCAGTTCTCGCTTGGAAGGCGAGGGGCCTCAGTGCTAATGGCAAAGGCAAAGTCCTGGCCGTACTGTTCTGGGCACTGATGATCTCTTGCCACTTGGCTCACCGTGCTCTGTGATGCAGCAGGACAGCTTGTCTCTTGGCCTCTGCTGGCACAGCTGTGCTCAGCTGTCATGTTTTTTTTTCACAATCGTTTTTTTCAAGTTACTCCTGGCAGCATCTCTGGGTTTTACAGAAGACAGAAGAGTTGTTATATTGGGGCTGAGAGCCACACAGATGCATGCGAGAGAGGGATTTGGACGAGACGACCTCGAGATCCCTTCCAACCAAAGCCACTCTGTGATTTAGTGCTGGAAAAGAACGCCAAGGAAAAAGGTGCCAAAAATGGAAATCCTTCATCTCTATAGAAAAACTTCCACTGAAATCACCAGTTAACTCCTTATCAGATGGGAAAAGAAGGAGGGCTCCATCATCCATGACCCTGCAGACATTCAAGGCCAGCCGGGATGGGCTCCTGGGCAGCCTGATCTGGTGGTTGGCATCTCTGCCGTGGCAGGGTTGGAACTGGATGGTCTTTAAGGCCCCCTCCAACCTAAGCCATCCCATGCTGCTCTGATTTGAGCTTTGCCTTGCACATAAGGTGTATCTACATTCACATTTCCACTCTGCAGCCAGCTTCCTGAATGCCCCCACATAAAGATTCATTAACTCTCTTTTTAGTCAGGCTTGGCTGGCTTGGACATGGGAGTCTGTCCATGGCTAATGGACAGAAACCATCACCTGCAGAGAAATGACTCATCCCCACCTCCCCAGCTCCTCGTGTTGAGGTGATGGAATTGCCCTCTGCAGGTGCTTGCTCCTCTTCACTGTCTGCAGCCGGAGCCTGGTGAACTTTAGACATAAACAACCTGATATAGACATGGTTAAAGCTGGGTAACCCAGCCCCTAGCATGGATGGTTAGCAAAAATGTGTCCAAAGATATCATGGGGCATCACGCGAGCGCCTGAACAAGATTAATTTTCAACTGAGGAATACTTTTTGCTGTTCTCTAGGCCCATAAAAGATGCTCATTTCCTCCTCGATAATTGCAGTTGTGGAGGTGAATGCCATGTTTGCTGTGACTGAATGGTGCAGTTATAAAATGCATTCATTTGCCGCTGCAGAAATACAAACCCTGCTTCCTTTCCCTGCTTCCCCTTGCATTGACTTTTCATCACATTCCATCCCGTACGACTGATCCTTCCACTGCTCTGTGTAGAGAGAACCCTTCACACGCTGTCCAGCCTGGAAGTCTCCATCCTCACAACACACGTTGTTTTATCAGGTGAACATTGCAGCAGCCTTAGAGATCACAACACAAGCCCACAGGAGCGCTGGGTGCGTGCCCCAAGGCTTATTGCCCTGTAACTATTTGAAAGCTGGTTCAGAGAGACAAGCTAGGAATCCAAAGTAGAAGGATTTCACTGATCCCTGAAGTACCAGAAGGACCTTTGGACCATTTAGCTGGAGGTTTTTGCAGGCAGATGGACGTGCGTTCACCACAGGTCTCCTGTCAGCACACTCCTGTCAGCTCACTACCAACTCCGTACCCACATCTTCTAAAGAAACCACAGCACCTAGCCGTGAGCTCTGCTCCTGACCTATGAACCGCCGTCCTTCCCTTTATTTCCAAGGGAAAAGAACAAAATCAGAGCTGCTACATTTGTACGTAATGCACTGCTGCTGGGGCACCTGCAAACCATGAGGTTCCAAGCTGCAGCCAGCAGCTGGTCTCCTTCACCCCAATCAGTGCTTTGATGTTCCAGGGATGAACGGAGTGAAAACACACCGAGAGCACAAACACATGAGCCTTGCTATTGAGATTTCTTTACAGAGGGGTCAAAGATCAGTGGGTATCTCGAAACTGCGCTTAAAAAAACCCAGCAGGTGCTTCCTGCTGTGCTCTCCAGAAATCACCTTCAAACAAAGAAATCCCTTGCTCCGTTCCAGAGACATCTCTATGTTCACCGCTAAACACGGGTAAATAGTACAACAGGAATCAACACCCACTGTAGCGGTGTCTGCTTCAGGGCGATGCGCCAAGCTGCGGCTGCTGCTGTCCTGGACGGGAGAGGGGGGTGCTGGCATGGAGAGCAGCTCCGGGCTGCGGGCAAGGCGGTGCTGCGGGAGACTGGGAGCAGAGCGAGGCAACACTGCCCCGCTGGGACCAGAGGCAGAAATGGAAGGGAGATTTGCTGATGTGGGTATTGCAGCTGCTTTGTCTCCCTGGAGAAGGAGTGGAGAGCAGCTCTGACCCTCTCAATTCTTCAGGAAATGGGAAGAGTCAGGTGCAGAGTAGGAGCCATCCTCCTTTAGAAAGGCCACAGCCTTTCTCCACTGCTTGGAGGTGCCTCATTCCTGTCTTCCATCACGGCAGTGCCAATAGCAAGCTCATGGTGCTCCTGTTACACTCTTACTGCCCCAAGACCTTCCTGACCTGCAGACCAAGCAGGAAGAGCGTTGCTGGCAGCCAGGATACGTCTCCTTTACTCACACAGTGGCTTTACGGGCTCTGCTTCTGCTGCAATGAAACACAGAATTCACACCCAGCTCCGTGAGATCTGACCCTCAGCAAGTGAGACAAACTGCAGTCCCTAGGGGGGGAAGGCAGAGCACAGGCACTGCAGGGAGCCCAGGGCTTTCTGCAGGATGGAACCTCACAGCACAGGCTGCTGCTCCTCCTCTCTGTGCCCCTGCAGCTCTGTGCTGAGCCTTTGCTCTCTGAATATCAACTCAGAAAAGCCAAGGACTGTTGCTGAGAGGCAGTAATCCCCAGAGGGCCTTTGCATCCTCTTCAGCTTACAGCTGAGATCAGCCTTGTTACTTTGGCAAGGGATTTCCTTGAAAATCCTGCTTCCCCAGAGAGAGGGAAGGGGAAGAGCACAGCAGATTTGGGATGTACCTCCATTTTTTTTCCCTTTCTGTGAAATTTCTTACTCTGGATGACACCAGACAACAAATGTACTGGCAATTTCCAAACACTCTTCCAGGAACACCCAGACCAGAGGAGCCCACTAGGCCCTTTCTATTTCTGCTTATGTCCTGGGAGTGTTTTTCACCCCTACACACACAACAAGTTTTAAGGAACGCTGCTAAATTCCCCCCAGTTAAACACGGAAGGCACAGAAGGGTTCAGAGAAAGGTTCTGTTCACAAACAGTGACCCAGCCAGCACTGCAGTGTGTACACACACACACATACACACACACACGTCAGACCTTGGGAGGAAGGTGTGCCTCCAGGTAACTCCGAAGCAAAGCATCCTCCAAATACTGGTTCCCGGGCTCAGGCCGCTCTTGGAAGAGGGTCTCAGCTTCTCTTCTTGCAACAGGCATTTCCAGGTCTGCTCCCACTTGCTTCTCCTGCAGGCCGACCTGCTGGCCTTGCCCTGCCGTTGTGCTGAATCCTCTACAACTGCAGGCTTGGCACCTGTCCCAGCCGTGACGCAGCCTGCAGGTAGCACCAGGTCTGCACAGAGCCAAAGTAAACATGACTGCAAAGCTTCAGCACGTCACCCCAACAGCTATCACCTTCACTGCATCATGTTTTCTCCTAATGCTGTTATATTATTCTTGAAAATGAACCCTCTTTTCTCCTCCCCTGGGGAGGAGCTTTTCAGCAGCTGTTGTTGACTTGAACTAGGGCAAAGGTCTTTGGAAGGAGATCAGAAAAGGGCCTGGAAAACACAGGTACTAGGAAAACATTGTGTCTGTCCATAGCAGTTGTGCAAATCATCGTCCAAATTTCCCAGAGTCGAGGGACCAGCCTTGGTGTGCATCCAGCAGCATCCCCAGTGGATTGCCTGGAATAATGAGTTTGGAAATTGTAATGAGATGAGAAGAGAAACTTACAGAATTCCTGGGAATGGGAAGAAACAGTTTAGGTGGGTTATTCTTATTATTCCACATTACGATCTTATCCTATATTATTTGGCAGGCGAGATGTTAGGAAGAAACTCTTCACTCAGAGGGCAGTGAGGCGCCTGCCCAGGCTGCACAGAGCTGCGTGTTCCCCGTCCCCAGTGCTGCTCCAGGCCATGGATGGGAGCTTGTGGGGCAACCAGCCCAGGGCTTGGGGCTGGGGGCTGTAAGGGCCCTTCCAACCAAAGCCATTCTATGATTCTGTAATCAAGGTACTGGTTAATAAAAGGGGACTCATCTTCCTTGGATCCTTGAGTTGTGACAGAAGCTCCTGAAGTAATCTACTTCTTGTGAAGTCTCCGATGTCATGGAGTCTACTCTGCCCTGGTGAGGCCTCATCTGGAGCACTGCGTCCAGTTCTGGGCTCCCCAGTACAAAACAGACAGGGATCTGTTGGAAAGAGTCCAGCGGAGGGCCACCAAGATGGTGAAGGGCCTGGAGCATCTCTGCTATGGAGAAAAGCTGAGTGAACTGGGTCTGTTCAGCCTTGAGAAAAGAAGACTGAGAGGGGACCTGATCCAGGTCTATAAGTATCTAAGATGTGGGGAGCTGAATGGCGAGGCTCGACTCTTTTCAGTGGCGAAGGGTGACAGGACAAGGGGAAACGGCCGGAAACTGCAGCATAGGAAGTTCTGCACAAATGTGCAAAGGAACTTCTTTAGGTGAGGTGACGGAGCACTGGAACAGGCTGCCCAGGGAGGTGGTGGAGTCTCCTGCTCTGGAGATGTTCAAGACCTGCCTGGATGCCGAGCTGTGCGACCTGCTGTAGGGAACCTGCTTTGGCAGGGGGTTGGACTCAATGGAGGTCCCTTCCAACCCCTACAATTCTGTGATTCTGTGAGTCGGTCTAATATTGTCTCCTTTTCCCTAGGTTTGTACCTGGAAACCCTAAGAATGCCTTCTGGCTTTGAGTAATTTAAAACCTGTACCTCCACTTGGGTGGTGACACGCTGACAGCAGTGCCACGATTCCAAACAACAGCATGCTGTTACAAGCACGGATGTTGGAGACTTGTGCATGGAGTTAAAGGCGGGGATACGCCTGGCTGAGCACGAACCATGGAACCATCTGAGTTGGAAGGGATCCTAAAGGCCGCCTGGTCCATCTGCAACAATCAGGGATGCGTACAGCTGGTCAGGTAACTCAGAGCCCCGTCCCCTGACCTCCCAGAGAAGGGACACCTGCTGGGCAACCACTGCCGAAGCCTCACTGCCCTCAGTGAAAAAAACATTTTCCTTATATCCAGTCTAAAACTTCTCTCTTTTAGTTTGAAATCACTTCTTGTCCTATCCAGAGGAGGGCCACAAAGATAATCCAAGGGCTGGAGCACCTCTCTTATGAAAGCAGGCTGAAGGAACCGTGCTTGTTCAGCCAGGAAAAGGGAAGGCCGTGGGGAGACCTCACTGTGACCTCCCGGTATATCAAGGGAGTTTAGAAACAAGTGGAAAATCAACTTTTTGCACGGGTAGGCAGTGATAAGGGAATGGTCTGTCAGCTAAAGGAAGGCGGACTTAGCGTAGAAGTCGGGGGAATTTTACTGAGGGAACAGCAGCAGCGTCCCCTCAGCCGCCCGCCCAGCCGCCTCCTTCCGCCCGCCCCCAGCAGGTAGCGCTCGGGCCGCCCCCAAGATGGCGCCGCGCTGAGGCGAGCCCGCGCTTGGGGTGAGCGGCGCTTCCTTCGCAGCGTGCCGTTGTGGGCCGGCTGCTGTGGTGTTCTGAGGCCCCGAGGAGCTGCCGAGGAGGCTTTTCCACTGTGTATAAATCGACTGTAAACAGGCTGCGCTGTGGAAAACACATTGCATTACCATTATCACATTGTTAGGTGGCTCACAGGCAGACATTTGTCTGCTTGAATTGCATTCCGGACCTGGCCAGAGAGCATGTAGTGAAACATGGTTTAAAACATAAAGAATCCTAAGATGAATGCGTAAATATTGAAAGCCTTGCAGGCTCACAGGTGTCAAATAGGGTTTTGTGGCTGTAAGCTGCCGTGGTGCCTCAGTGCAGGTGCAGCGCGCGGCCTAATGGCAGCCGGTGCTTTGGCGCCTTGGTTTGCTCTGGCCAGGATTGATGTTAATGTGGTTCCTGCTCACTCTTCCTAAAATACCAGCTGCCGCTGGCAGGCTTCCAGTTCTTTCATGCTTTTTTTAATGCTTGTAGGAATTAACATTGAGGCTTGGGATATGAGAAATGCGATTTAAAAGAGCAGTGGCTGACACCAGGTACAGCTGTGGCCCTGAATATCAAGTAGCCCCAATGGTTTACCGGTGAATAGTGAGAGTTCTCTCCTTCTGCACACTTCTAGCCATAGAGTAGCCACAGTTTGCTTTGCAAATCTCTTAGATCTGAATAAGCCCGATGAATCTGGTTCTTTAAGGAGAAAGGTTCTTTTTCATCTTTAAGGAAGATGAAAAGTGCAATGACTGTGTATTTTCCAGGGGTCTCATGTCTGGTGTGTTTTTTTTATTTTCAGATTTTGACTACAAGTGGAAGACAGATCTTTGAAATACATGATGGCCACTTGTCAGCTTTTAAGTAGGCCGAAGAATAAGTCCTCTAAGGTAAAAACCTTGAAATGCCTCCCTGTTTTGAGCCTGGCATGTCTGTATCTTGTGAGCTGGGAAGACCGTGTTATTCTTAGTTGAATTAAAAAGCAGATATTTCCAATTTAATGAGTCCAGGAAGCATGAAGTTTTGACATATTTGGCTAAATAAGTAAAGGCTCATTAGGCGTGCACAGAACTTCATTAGCAGGAAATAAGGCAATGACCTAATAGGGGAGCTAAATTTAGTGTCCTTTCCACTGGGATTTTTCCTGTTTAAATCATGCAGTGTTTAGTATTTACATTAGCTCCAATCTTAGATGTACTGTTTACGTCTCTGTGTTAAAATCGCCCTGAAAACTAGGTCTGCCTACAGTGCTGACAGGCTTAGTCTGCTGTCACAGCTCACACAAAGCTGTAGCAGGCAGGGAACTTTGGTAAGGAAGTGAGAACCTCAGCAGTTGGCACAAAACGATGCACGCTTTTGATTCTAAGGCACTCCTAAGTGCCTGCGTGGGTGCAATGGAGGGGTGGGAATGTTCAGCCATATTAGAGAGGAAATAATGACCCATGTGGTCTGCAGCTGAATAAATCATGTCAGTAACTCTCCTTGAAAAACTTTGTTAGACATGAGTCCTCTCTGTGTAATATGAAGACCAGGGAAATGTTAACATTATCTTTTAAAGTTACCCTTCCTAACTGCTAAGAATCGTTTCTAAGTGTAATCCTTGCCCTTCTTTTTCAGGAATTTCTGTTGTTCCCCAACAAAATCACTACTAAGCAGCAGTCTGTGGTGCTGGTGAAAAGACTTCTGGCCATCTCTGTCTCCTGCATAACATACCTGAGAGGGCTGTTCCCTGAGAGTTCTTATGGAACACGCTATTTAGATGGTAACCCTTGCAGTTTGTTCAGAATTCTTATTCGTACTCACTATATTTTAGCAATTATCTGCTCTACAGATTACCTTCCAGCTGCTCATTTATGTGTGACTTGAGTCTATTGGGAAGGTAGCTAATAGGCCTTCTCAAGTCTTGATACAGATAGTGCTGCATCAGATAGAGAGCGCAGAAGATGACCTAGAGCTATTGGCAACTCGTGGCTTTCCTATTCATATTTCTTTTGGTTTATAATTGTTCCTTGCTATTGCCAGCCCTTTGAGTCAGGCCTCAGGTCAGGAGCTTGGCTTAGACATTGTTAAGTATTTAAAAATTAGCTCAGATTGGTGTATGTTATTGTCCTTTGGATTTTTGAGCCCTTGGGGTTCAAATTTTCAGCTTAGTTTGTTAGATAGAAAGTAGAATTGCTTTTTCCTTTCTGTGAAAATTGACTAGCTCACATAATTGCATGTGCTTGGTCAGAACTATCAAGAGAACCACAGTCAGAGCTTTAATGAAGAAAAATATTGCTGTGGGACTTACTGTAGGATCACAAGAATCACAGAATCATTGAGGTTAGAAAAGACCTTTAAGGTCATCCAGTCCAACTGCCCACCTGCCACCAGTGTTGCCCACTGTTCCTTAGTACCACACCTCCACATTTCTTGAACACCTCCAGGGATGATGACTCAGCCTGGGCACCCCGTTCCAATGCCTGACCACTCTTTTGGAGAAGAAATTGTTCCTAATATCCAACATGAACCTCCCCTGGTGCAACTTGAGGCCATTCCCTCTAGTCCTGTCACTACTAACCTGGGCGAAGAGCAGAGCCCAACTTACCACAGCCTCCTTTTGGGGAGTTGTAGAGGGCAATAAGGTCTCACTGAGCCTCCTCCATATTAAGAGTTAGTGATGCTTTGCTTCATCAGCATCTTTTTGTTCAATTGAGATATGTTAGTGGGGTGTGAAATGTCTCCATTTATTGCAGTCTATCTCCATGTTTTTACTTAAGCTGGTAGTTATCCTGAAACAAGATTACATGCACTTCATGGGCTTTGAGGGCACAGGAAACCCTGAATAGGCACTGGTCCTTCTAATCAAACGTCAGGTCTTTCAAGTGTCTTTTTGATCAAGAATGTTGACATCTGACCTGCTCATGCTTTGAGGGCTCTTTGGTTGACTCCTAAGGTGTTACAAATTCACTTCTTCATTTTCAGGATGTGTTTCTTCTTGCTCTGAATGCCTGAAAACAGAGGCAGAAGGAAGTAGGTGAAAAATGTTATCAGAAGTAGTTTATTTTATTCTACAGGCATTTATCTCACAGAGATGTTGGTGAAGTCTGAATGCAGAAGTGAAGGTGTTTTATGGAAATACCAGAGTTGGTGGGCATGGAGGAGGGAAGTTGTTGGCCTTTCAGAATTAAGCCAACTCTAGACTTCTGTCAGGACCCAGATCATCTGAGGAAAGTCTTTGACATTTGAAAATGCAGCAATAAGCTTGTGTCAGCCCACCTGGGACTCAGTGGAAAACCAACATTTCCGCTAGGAAGAACCTCTAGATAAAGTATTTTATCCAAAAAAGGGAGGATAGCTGGGGTAGTTTCAGCATTTGCCCAATAGCTGTGATAAGGATGGTAACTATGTGCTAAATTTGGTTTTGCAGACCTCTGTCTAAAAATTCTGAGAGAAGATAAAAGCTGTCTGGGATCGTTTCAGATAGTCAAGTGGTAAGTGAGTAACAGTGAAACTAAGACAAGATTGTGCTGAACAGCAAGACATCTACCCCTCACATTCTTCTTCTTCCTGAGTTTGAAAACACTGTGCCCAGCAGTGCTACTGGATATGCCTGTGCAACTCACTCTGCTGCAGTGTGTGTGCTTGGCCCTGTGCGTAAGCAAGACAGAATTAGCTGACGGAGATCATGTGAAGCCAGGGCCTGTTGGAGTGTTGACTTTAGTGAGGTCATGGTCAGGCTCCAAAGCACACACAGGCAGCGTAGGTAGGGAGTGAGAGTAAAGAAAATCATGAGACTGATTCTGCTGTTGTCTCATATTTTCCAGTTTCACTTTTATAGTGATTCTTGTAGCTTGTTTTTCAGTAAGTACAGTATTTTACTCCCTGAATATTGTGTGTTTAGGTACCTTACAGTTGTCCTGTATATTATTAAGGGTGCATTTCAGAATTAGCGCGTTCCCAACAAGCAAAGTCTGAATTGATAAGGAGATATGCAGTTGCGAGGGCTCAATAAGTAAACATCTGACCATTGCTGCCTCAAGTAATACCTACTGCTTTGAAAACATCCTTAGCAGTGAGCTGTACATCAGATAGCAAAAATGTAGGAGTCCAGGCACGTCAGGCTGTGTTCAGATTGAAGTTTCAGCCAAGTTCTGTACACAGTCATTGGGAAAAGGGCCACTGGAGAGCAAGCTGGGGGCCAAAATGGAGCTGTGAGCTTTGGCCTCAGGTCCTTGTCACTGTCAGGACTGAAGTGGGCTCTAGGCTGACTGGCTCAGGATATGTAAACAACACACAAATGCTTTTTGAAGGGCAGGCGGGTTCCTTCTGATGGCTGACCTGGAAAAGGACTTTATAAGACCAGAATGTTACTGGCTATGTTGTCTTCTTCCAGAATAACATGGACTTTAAACTGTATCTGATGAGTTGTGTTTTTACAGACCATGAGATAAGCATCGCTGGTTAGCACTAAAACATTTTTCCTTGGCAGGATTCAAGGTTGTTTTGATGCTTTGGAGAAGCAGTATGTAAGTTTGTTCCTGCTTTTTAATGGACTTTGTTATTTTTCTTCAAAAATATGGACAAAACTGTATTTTCATTCCTCCTCTTGTAATGATCTTGCATACACACAACATTTACAGCTGTGGAGTAAAGGGAGGGCTGCCCAGAGAATAAAAATCTGAGGTTTGGGATTTTATTCCTTGAGCCCAACCAAACCTTGACTGGAGCTCTCTGGACTTGCCTGTACATGGCATGAGCACTTGCAGCCTGGAAGGGATTCCCCTTTGTTCTGTGTTCTGCATTTGCACTCTCCGGTGTCTGAATACAGACAGTGCCAGTCAGAACTTGCAGGTCCTGATTTCTATGCCTGTTTTCTTGAGAAAGATTCTTTCGTGCTTCTGCTTTCTATCATGTTATGTTCAAGCCTTTGCCCTTTTTCTTCTCTAACCCTCTTAGCTTTCTCTCGGGTTTGGACTTTATTCCTTTTTTTTTTTTTAATAAGGCCATCCATTAGGTAATGTGTTTATCTGGTTTCAGAACAAAACCAGCCAGTAAGTAATCATATTTCTTGCTGATTCTCACACACACACACAAAATTGCTACGTACAGAAAAAAGGACCAATTACCATCTCTGTCAGCACTGCTCAAGTTAACTCTCATCTAGATCAGATGAAGCTGTGTTAGTTTCAGCTCTGCTGATTGCACGCGCTCTTAAAATCAGTACGACTGGCACTGTGCATACGATGTGCAAAATGTGAACTGCTTACTGCTTGCTGACAGTTCTGGGAGGAATGTAGCCCTCTGCTATTTATGAGAGACATAATGTAGTTATTATTTGACAAAGGTTAAGAGAAAAACAGGTATTTAATGGGTGCTCTAGGATTGCTTTCTCATCCTTTCCCACGTACAGTTTCTTGCTATAGCGTGAATTAAACACCTTTGATGTGTCTTGTATCAGTGAACAAATATTATTCTGCGGTAGGGATGGGTGCTATTGTGAAAGTGTTTTAAGTTGACATAGGCTCTGAATATTTGTTTAGAAAAAGTCCCAGGAGGGAAGGAAGTCTGAGCATGTCGTTGCTTTCTTGGGGAAGTGCATGTGAAGCCAGCGAACCGGCCACTAGGTGTTGCTGCTGCTGTGCTGTGAAGAGTCTGCATGAAGACGTGTGACTCAGTTTGTTGAATGTGCCTGTGTGTGTAGGCAGTTCGATTTTGCTATCTTGTGTTGTCCTCACCCACTCAGGATAGATACTGACTTTGCCTTCTGTTTTCTCTTGTTCTCTCTCTCTTTAGCTACATGTTGCTGTCCTAGCAGTAAGTAAATGAGTTCAAGACGTTTTTCTTCTCCCACCGTGCTTGACACAGATTTGGAGTCAACATTGTGTCAAACCATAAATGCCTTTTATAAGGGGAAGTCAAAATATATGTGGTTTTTAATAGAGTGATGACCTTTCTTAAATATGGTAAATATGAACTTCCTAGGCTGCGTGGGAACGTTTTCTCCGTATGTCAGACCTCTGACTCTCAGGCCTTACATGAATCCTTAAAGCCCAGGAAACACTTTCCTGGGCTCCCTATCATTTCTTCCCGCAAACTCTGGCCCTGATCCTTGGAGGAAGGAAGCTGCTGTGTTTTCTCAGTGCATAAGAGTTTGCTTTAATAATCTGATGCCGAGGAAACCACACGCTAGCAGCTGCCTCGGGAGTCTTTTGCCCTGGTTCTCTGTAAAGCAGCAATAGCCGTTCTACACACCTACTGTGTACATAATCTGAGCATTTAAATCTCAGGCATCAATAGTTACCTGTGAGGATTGGAATGGGAATCAACCTCATTCCTCTAGAATTACACAGGTGAGTCTTCTACCTGTCTTTGAAGTGCTAAGTATGGACTGCTGATAGAGGAAGGCCATGTCTCAGCCATTCCTTTCTCTGATCCCGTGTTACAGATAGCACAATCTCCGCTGTAACTTGGAAATAACATTGTTTATAGTCCTTTTTCACTGGTTCATGTTACCCAAGGGCAGAATGTGCTCACTGTGCTTTCTTACAACAGATGTACACCAATCCCGAGGAACCGGAGGTAAGAAAGAGTCTTAATTAATCTTTGAGGCAACCGAAGGCATGGGTGAGTAGATTTTTATTCAGAATGGACTTGTGGGCTTAAATTCTACCCTGACACTGCTGCTTGGTGACCTGGTTTCTCTTCTTCTGCCTTCACTCAAGAATGACAGCTCAGTGAGCTGGATTGTGATCAAACACTCCTGCCGGGCATCTAGGGCCTCAGGCAGGGATGTTAACAGGCAACTAATGGGCATGTTCTCAATTTTGTTTTTCTTCCCTGAGGGAAGAACTGGGAAGTTCAAAATCATTCTTTTATTCTCTTTTTCTTTTATTATCTTTTTGAAAGGAGTAGTGAGAAGAGATCTGTTGGTTCTTCTTGTTTGTTTGTTTTTCATGCAGAGAGGTTTAGGACAGAAGTTACAAATCGCTTCAGAGCTGGGATGCATGAGTTACACAGTGTGTGTGTGCTTATCCTTTCTGTGTTCTCCACTGAATTGCCACCTCTGCTATTTTGTCTAGCCTGTGGCAGCAGTCTTAGTGCAATATGTAAGTGAGGCTCTGCATCCATTTATTCTGATGCTCTTCACAGAGCACACATGAGGAATGGCTGCAGAGCCTGCCTGTGGTGTTGCAGTTCTACCCCGCTGCACCTCAGCATCTGGGGAGGGAGGGAGGAAGTGCTGGGATTTCTTAAGAGCTCAACCTGACTCCTCCCAGTCAACCTCACTGCCTCAGAAAAGCCAATGATAGACATGACATTGGGCTGCAGTATGTCCTTCCTCTTGGATTGAAGTTTGTTCTTCCTAATGGTTGTCTTCTCTGAAAATGTAGCAAATCATTTTCTTTTACGTGGGATGTCATCTAAATATATACTTTTTAATCTCTTAGTAAACACTGAGACCAGTGAAACTCAGAATCCCTGTGCAATACAGTTTAAACTCCTAGTGGAAACTGTCCTGCAGGCTCTTGTCTATACAGAACTCTGGCCAGGCTTCCCTGTGACGCTGCATCACTCGTGAAGCCTGACATTTTTCCTTTTAGTAGTGAGGGAGGACATACAGACGCTGTGAGGTCAGCTGGCCCTGGTGTCTCTTTAGAGGACAGGGCTGGGGAGTCAGGCCCACAGAAATAGAAGGAGGAGGCTGGAAGTTTACAATTTTTCTGTGATTATTTCAGTGCTAGGTAAGTTGTGGTTGTTAAGGAAAACCTACCAACACTTATGCAAGCAGTAATGGAGCTTCAGCTATAAACATCTCATTAGATTAATGCTGTGTTCTTATAAAGTCTTCAAAAGACCCTGTTAAGTTCAGAACACATCTTTACGTTTGCTTTTTCTTTTCCTGCTTTTGTTAAATCTCCAGACAGTGACTGAATTGTATCAATTCAAGTTCAAGTACAAACAGGAGGTGCCCGAGATGGACATCATCAGGTAATGGTTTGGGTTTATTTCTCAGAATTGCACTTTGAAAGGCAGGTGTTCCTGAAGCCTGAGGAAGAAGCAGCCCTTCATGATGATAGCATGTCTGAGCAGCTCAGCAGTAAGTATCATCAGAGTTGAGGATAGTCACTCTACAGGACACAAACATCCAAGCTGGTGAATAGAAATGCTGTTATGTAGCACAGTGAGGCACTTGAAGTGCATCAGAACTGAATGAAAAGCAACTTACAGAAATCACACCAAGTCAGTGTAGCAGTGGAGAAACCAACACATTTGTTGAGCCTGCTACCATCTCAACTAGCAGCGGTGTTCTTCCAGTTTCACAGGAGAGCCTTGTGCTTTCCAGTGAAGCTGTTCCAAGTTTGATCCTTTTAATGAAGATCTCATTCCCAGTATTTTTATCCATGGGCATTTGCACGCATGCGTTCTGTTCCAGTAGTCTAGGAGGGTGGCCTGGGAGGTCTTTCTCTGATCATGCCTGTGTTGATGTTGCAGAACTTATGGCAGGAAGCAACAGCATCTTGCATCCTCTTGGCACTGTTAGATATTTGACAGCTGTGTTTAGTGGGGCAAAATCCTGTTTAGTTTAAACTTAATACTGTCAAAAGCTATTAACTATGACCAAAGCAAGGAAAAATAATTAGCCAGTTCCCCAGCAGAACGCAGCATCTGTTGATGTCCATAGTACTGGTCAAGAAGAGGCTCCTCTTTATCTTTTCTGTTCTGTTTATATCAGCTCCTTCAAAATCTCAGTGCTGTGCTGAGGGTTCAGAGATTGAGGCCTCAGATTCCCTGAGCTGTGGCTCTGTTCTGTTTCCCCTGTGACTGACATTGCTATCACCAGGTCATGTATGTACCTGCAGTCGTTTGTAAGCTGACATTCTGGCATTGATCAAACTATTGTGTCATCTTTGCTGTCAGCTCCTTCAGTTGATAAAACTACTGTTGTGCACCTGCAAGGTTTATTGCCACATGCCAACCCAGAGCAAATCATCCCTCAAGGAATGTGTCTGTGTCCTTGTGTACGAGTGGCAAAGGAAAACGTTCTCCTAGATGATCTCTGCCCTTTTCTAGATTCATTTTTGGAGGAGTTTCTGGCCACGGATCCCAGTCTTTCAGAGAGGTTCAGTTCTTTGATTCCTACCTTTTGGCACATTCCTGCATCAAACCCAGTGTTATTCTCATACTGAACCAGAACTTGGCCTGTTACCTCCTATGGAGCTCTCATGTCTTTTTGTATATACTCTTTCTTCTGTGCTTTCTACCCTGCTAATCCCAAGACTTGTGAAGATGTGGAAGAAAAGGCCTGGTTTCTCTTTATTCCACCTTGATGTTGCCATCTTTAGCTCTCTCACTTCCCATACACATTCCAGAACATACAAGATTCCATTTAATAACACAGCATGGTCAGCACAAGGGTTTTGTTGTTGGAGCTTACCAAACCATAACCTACATAACCTTGGGAATACAAACTGTTCAACAGCCACTCAGCTTTCATATTGAAATGCTCCAACTGGAAGGGGAAATCCATCTTACAGAAGCAGTGATTTAATCAGTCATACTCAGCCCTGGCGTTCTCCCCACTGTCATTTGTTCCTTTCTGCTTTGGAAATGATTTGTGATGATTCTGTTAGATTTTGTTAGATACCATCCAGTCTGCTTGTGGCATCATCCAAAGCCACAGTTTTATAGTGGAGGAGCTACTATTTTTAAGGCCCTTTCTTGTTGAATGTTAAGGAAGTGTAGGTTCCTCGCTCTCTTAGTGATTCATCCAGTTTGCCTCCAACTGGCTAAAGTTAGCAGCCTGATCTAAGCTGCTCATCTCATCAACCTCTGTAGTCAAGAGAAACGAACTCCTCCAGAGGGCAATTCATCCCACTGCTGCTGCACGGTTATCTCAGTCTAGACTGCTTGCTTAGACTAGCCAGCTGACATTTGGATGGGTGAAGGAGGTGAGAGGAATGCCCCTTAGTCACTTTGGAAAAATGCACTTCTGAGCTAGTTTTTCTTACATGAAATTGAAGTGAGAACATGGAATTCACTTCTCTTCAATCTGCAAAATGGACTTGAAAATAGCCACGGTGATGAATCAGCTCTATATGGGATTTTCACCTCATTCCTCTCATTCCTGGAATTGCTTAGGTGAAAGGCACTTGTTTTATGGTCCTTTGATCCATTTAAATCATGTTCGAACAAGTGAGTCACGATATTTGTACAATGGGGGTCCGTTGCCCTAACTGCAAAGCCTTTTCAAATGTAAATGCCATGCCACTTCGTTTAGAGCTGCTGTTTTCCTGATGCCACTCCATCCCAGGAGTCTGTTTCACTTCCCTGTTTATCTGGAAATTACACGAAGGCATTGTAGCTTTCTCACTGGTGCTTTGAGACAAGTCAGTGGGTGCACTGTATTTGTAATTGGATCTTGAATATTCATGACTGAGGAAAAACAACTCTGTTATTCTGCTTCCCATTGTAGCAACAGGACGAACTTTGTGAATGGAGTGTGCAGCGAGGACGTGAAGCAAGCCTGCAGCCTCCTGATCCGTAAGCTGTACCTGCTAATGCAGAACCTGGGCCCACTTCCCAATGACATTTCCCTGACCATGAAGCTCCTCTATTACAATGATGGTAGGTGGATAGCTACGTGTGCTGCCAGGGTAGCTTCCCTTTCCATCAGTTCCTGTGATAACCACGAGCCCCGTGAAATTAACAAACCTCAGAAAGGTGAAATGGCAGTGAGGTGGTAGGAGCTATTAGCTGATACAGTGAGAAATGGTGTAAAATGTAGTGAATCCCTTAGACTCACAGGGATGGCAGGTGCTGTGAGAAAGGATTGTAAATCCATGTAAGAAGTGCAACCTTGCAGTGTGAAAAGGACAGCCTTCTTCACTGTTTCTTAAGGAACATGCACCTCCTGTGTGTTGGCTTGTAATCCAGAAAGTTGTGCTCATTGATGGTATCTCAGCATTCTAAAGTTACTGTTTCTTTCAGCCACCTGTTAGCATTTGCTCAGTTCTTTTTTTGCCTTTGAAATCTCCCTTCTTCCCTCCAAAAAAATAACCACCCAACACATTGTTGGTAGCTGGCATTGTTTCTGGAGGTTGGTAGATGTGTGTATTTCATAGAGCAGATTAAAGAGGGATGGAACTTTGTTTCTCTGACAGCACTGGGTTCTTTCTCTGTGTGTAGTGACTCCTGATGATTACCAGCCACCTGGCTTTAAGAAAGATGACAACCCTGGGGACCTGTTGTTTGATGGTGATCCTGTCAACTTGAAACTAGGGTCAGTCTCCACTGGGTTCCACACCTTGAAGGTGAAAGTAACAACTGAAAACAAAAGAATGGGGAGAGTTGAAAGCAACCTGATCCAGAAGAATAGCCCTACTGAGATCTCCCACCAAGGGCTAGACTGCGATGAAGAGGAAGAGGAGGGAAGCACTAAGGTAGAGAAATAACTCTATTCAGTTCTCGTTGGAGGAATGGAGTTTATCTAGCAAAACACTCTGAAAAAAAGCATTTGCTCAGAATCCTAGCTCAGTAAGCTTGTGCAGGGCAGCATTGCTGCACTGGATTGAGCACTGAGACTGCAAATCCATCAGCATAATGTGAATTTCATTTGAGCACATCCACTGGCTTACTGAGTCTAATATGTTCTCCCAGAAGAGGGCAGTGATTATACAGAGAGCCACAGCACACGCATGCAGAACTGGAGGAAACTGCAGACTTTTGCATTTCCATTTGGTGTTTCTTTCCCAGATCTGTGCAGTCAGGTGGGATTCCTTCCACTGCCTCTAACCATCCCAAAGTTGTGCACTGTGCCCAGTTTCTCTGGAGCACCTCGGTGCTTTGTGTAGGGGTTGTCTTTAGCAGGCAATCATTAGACAGCAAGTTCAGCTGAAATAACAAAGGGGCAGCCTGCACCAGCAGCTCGGGCTTGGCAGTTTAATTTTAGGTGGCAAGTGCCAGTGAACAAGCCTTAGCATAACTGCTGCCTGAAGACAGGAAACTGTTTGGGCCAGAATTTTCTGCCTTTCTCAGTAAATCTCTCTTCTGTAGGCTTGGGAGTAGGAGTGCTGCATGCTGAGGAGTTTTGTAAATCTCATCTCTGTTAGTGCTGAGTATAAGCTCAGCAGATTTACCTCCTGGGAATAATTTTTAAGTCGTGCTATTAATTCAAGGGATTATTTGCATTGCAGAACAACCCTCTCCCTGTCAGAGCAGAGTCAGATGAGCATGGAAAGGATGGAAAGGACAGAAATTATACCCATCCAGGCCTGGGAACTGAAGCATCTTCTTTTTGCCTTCAAGATACAGGTAGAAGCTCAGTTTCAACAGTGAAGGAGCCTGTGTTCACAGCTAATCTCTTAGCATAATATTTAGATTTTCTCAGCTGTTTTGAAATGGATGAACAGTTTGTCAGACTAATTCAATTTTGTATGAGATCAGAGTGACCTATAATAAATGGCCTCTTGTGTACGCTTGGTTTGTTAACAGAAACATTCAATTTTTTATCAGTATCTTTCCACCTTTTTATCTCAGCAGTTTTTTTTCAGATACAGAGGAAATGCATCGTTCATCAATATCACATTACATTATCTACATTTCACCAAGGCTCTTTTCCTATAGCTGTTGCAGCTTGATTTTGCTAATAACTTTAATATGTGAAAGCATGCATGAACATATACCAAAAAAAAAGCCTCTGCCACTTCAGTAAGCCTAGCTGGTGATGTACCATGCTCTGTTTGACCTTTGAGGCTCTCAAATATAGCCTGTGGAACAATACCATCTAGTGACAAAATGGTAAATAGCATTCCTGAGATCCTCAGGCAGTGGAATAAAGGAGCTGGGCTGCCTATGAAGCCACCTCTTCTAGTCTTTCTCCTGCAGATTCTCTGATAACTAATGAGGAGTGAACTCACACTGCCACCTTTTCCACTAGGGGGATATTAACAATATCTTCCTGCCTCATCGAATTGTTTTCATGAAGCTCTGAGGCAGTTTAGGACCCCACAATCAAATTTTATGGAAACTGTCTAGTAGGGACAGCAGTTATTAATCAGAGGACAAGCTCCTGTCCAACACAGCCACTTACACAGATTATATACTGACATAATCCTTGTTTCTTAGGAAGCCGGGTTAAAAAATGAAGTATTAACCTCACGGACAGGAGCTGTTGAGGTTAATGTTTTATATTTAGATGATGGTAGTCTGAAATCTGTTTACAGTGCTAAACTGCCAGTGCTGGCACTGAGAATAAGGGTTGCACCATTCCACATCAGGCATGGAATTGCACTACAGTGGTTCAGTTGTCCTTTTGTGTATATTTTTTTCAGTTAAATATAGGGCTTTAAGCTTGAGAACTAATTTTGATATGTTTGCATTGTAGGTGGAAAGGGAAAGATGGAAATAAAAGAGATGGGCAGGCAGCCTTCCTCACAGGCATCTCAGCAGGTGAGCAAATTTTAGTGACTCTGATACGACAGGCAGTGTGAATTGATTGCCATGGAATGTGATGTCACCTAGGATGGCACAGCTTTCTAATAACGTGTGCATTTGTTGTATGGTATGCAATGGCTACAAAGTGTTACAGCATAGGGGTATAAGCATGAACTGGAAGCATTTATGAACAAGCTTTCCGTGGTCAGCTCATTTCACACATCCACTGCGAGAGTTTTTGTTCTGTTCCAGGAGTTGACACTCATGCATTACACATGCAGCCTAAATGACACAGCCAGGTTTCTTTACCTGCGTGTGTTTTTGGATTAGGGTTCTGAAATCACCACCCTGGGTTAGATTTGAAGGCTGTGTTTGTCTGCTGCCCAAGCTAATCTTTACCTCTCCTTTCCTGCTGCCAGTCTTATCTTCACGTGTGACTCACAGTACTTCTGGATCCTATCCCTTTTTGCCTACCTCTCTGTGATAGGAAGACTTAGCTCCTGGAAGTGCTGATCTCTTTTTTCAGGGGTTACAGAGGCAGAGCTAAGAAGTAGGATGGACCAGACGTGATACATAAAGTAAGGTGAAGTTAATTCCATCCTGAGACTGTTCAGGTCAATCCCTGAACCAAAATCAGTGCTGGGATTCATGCCCTTGTGCAGAGCTCTTTTCAGTGACAGGCAGGTCTCTGAACACCACCAGACCTGCCAGTTGATCCTCCTCCTATTCAAATTAGTTGAAGATGCTGTGAGCTTGAATATTCAGAAACTGAATCTTCACAGGATAAGTTAACGAGAGTAGGAAATTGCTAGTAAAATTTTCCCTGCTTCTGTTGAAAAGTCTAACCCAGACAGCAACTGGAGACGACTACTTAACGTGTCATTCAAAAGGCATCTCTGAAGTATTTGCATTGACTCTGGATCTTAGAAATGAACTTCTGTGCCTAGGCTGGTATTTTTCAAACTTTAACCACATTTTTTTTTTGTCACATCCTCCAGTTTCCTTCTGATCATTGTTTATTCTGTCGTCTCTGAGAAAACAGGAGCCTTTTTTGTTTGTAACTCATGGTTCTCCCCCTGATTCATGCTCTTGCATTCTTTCGGGTCTGTCATGATGAGAGTCAGAGCACCAGGCACCTCTCTCCTGCAGCATGTGAATTCCCTTAGAATGCAGTAGCAATAGTGAGAGTTTCTGAAGGTGGTGGAAACAGTACTGGTTACTGAAAAGTGGAAGAGTCATTTTATCCACTTTATGCTTCCAAAGACTCAAAAAAAGAATTGCAATCCCTCTTCCTGTTAAATTCTGCTGGGCAGACAGTTTTTGAGTTATTCTTTGATATTATTATTTTTAGACATACTTGCTTAGAATATGGCTAACATTTCAGTCACTTCAGGAAGAAATAAAACCAAGTCACTCTTTAGAAAGTTCAGATCATCACAGTAAAGCCAGCACTAATAAAAACTTGATGCTATTTTCCATGCGAGGGGGACTTTCCCTTCTTTTCTGAGGGAAGTGGGTGAAACAAATGTGCATTGTGTATTCCACTTATATCAGGAAGCCAAACTGTCGAGTGAAGTTTGTCTTAAAAAATGAGGGCAAGCTAGGGAAATCAGAGTTAGGTATTATCTAACGAGGTCAAACGCAGGTAAGATGGCAGAAGGAGTCCTTTTGGGGTGTGAATGTAAACATCTTGTTGCTATCCAGGCTGCAGGACGGTGAAACGAGCAGCGTTTTTCAGGTGTGCTGGGAGGAGCTCTGTGATTTGAGGAGCCGTGTGGTCTCCCAAGAGAGCTGCCTTCCCCCGGCTTTGAGGGGTCGCTCAGCTTGGGCTGTGCAGCGCTCGGGAACCACCTGTGCAGCTCTCCCTTTATTTTTGGCAGACATAAGCCACCAGGCTCAGGCTGCTAGTGCACGACAAGTGTTAGGTTTCCACCCAAAGAGCGCCTTGAACTAGCTCTCATAAAAATTGCTCACATACCAGCGCTACCATGGGGGAGTGGGCATGGCAGGGTGGTGAGGGCGAGGCGGGCTGGGGGGGGGACACCTCACCCTGCTGTGCGTGGCTGGGCCCAGGGCTGGGCGCTCAGTGCTCACCTGCACCGTTACGTGCTGAGCTGAGCTGATCGAAACCGATGGAAGCAGTCCCGCCTATTGCAGATCGTGGTGTCAGCAAGGATTCGATGTTCAGAAAGCGATGTGTTAAAAAATCCCATACAGTCACAAGGTGCTGTGGGGAATTTGGACGGCCGCGTTGCTGCTCTTTCTCTGAGCGGACTGCTTTATTCCTTCTGTTTCCCAATTATAAAAAAGCCAGAACTATGCTGTTGGAACCGAGTTGATTGTTCGTTATTTTCCTGACCTACAGCTCTTCAGGAAAACCAGGAATGGGAGCATTAGAGGCTTATTTTTATCTGTATGACATGGGAGAAGCAAAGGCTGCAGATCTGCCAAAAGAGAAAGAACTATTTCTGTCCTGTTAGAACTATAACTGCTGTTTAATAATGGCCACGAAGAGTCTCTGACAGAGGGCTTTTCAGATTGGAGAAAAATTTACATGTACTCAAGTTGCTTGTTATCTGCAATCTAATGATTGATGATACTTAGGATCAAATGAGAGATTGCCCTTTCCCAGCAAAGCATCTCTGTACTTAATCATCCAGAGTTAGACACCAGCATGTAAATTACCCTACCTCTGCTGACTTGAGGAGAGTTTCTGATTGCATCAGCTGCGGATTTGTCCCAGTGTACTATCTTTATGTGTCTTCCTAGTTTCCACTGGCATTCTACAGTTGTGATCTGAAGAGCTGAGTAAAATAGGGAATTGCTGCCCACTGATTTGTTCTGCAGAAATCTGCTGATGGAAATGGGGTCCTGCACTGAATGTGAGATAACTTCTTGAAGACTTCAGCGTAGTCCTTTACCCTCTTGTGGGTTCTTTAATGGTTTTGTCCCACAAGTTGATTTTTGTCCTCTTTGTCTTCATGTAAGCAAACATGTTTCAGTGGAATGAGTTTGGAACGAAATAGTTCTAGAAGATGAATAAAAGCTGACCATGTGGATGCTTCTGCAGGCGTTATCTCCCATCAGCAAGCTGTGGGCTGAAGTTCTGGGGTGGTCCTTAAAGCACAGTCTCATTGCACAGTGCAGCAGTTGTGCAGAGCCCTGAGTCGTCCCAGACGGAGCCTGTGCCAGAGCTGGAAGTGGTGTGGCTGCATCAGCACAGAACAGTTCTACCTCCTGGTTTTTTGGCTTCTCTAGTCAGTGCCAGACGGTGCTTATGCTGCTGGGCTGGCTGCGTTTGTGCTACCAGGCTGCTGTGGGGCACCAGTAAGTGTGCTGAGGATTGGCCTTGTGTAGGCACAGTGGTTTGGATCACTGGTAGCCCGGGGGTTCCACACTGCCTGTCAGTGCCTGGCTGTGTGGCACAGCTCTCTTACCCGGAGCTGTCTGAAAGTCACAGAGATTCACTTGCCTAAATGAAAGAGTGCCATTTTAGACTGCAGGTGGTGGTTTGTCTGGCCAGCTGCTACTCCCCATGCTGAAGTCTTGGGTACCTGGTGACGTCCTTTTTCTCTGTGAGAGAGGCTGTGGCAGCAATGGAAGCCAGCATGAGCAGTCTTTCATGCCTGACACCCTACGAGCAGTGTGTTTTGTTTGCCAGTGGTCAGCATCCTCTTGGTGCCCAGAGCCGTGGTAATCCTGCTGGAGATCCCTGTGCCTTTGCTGAGCTTCAGAGTTGCATGTGACTTCTGTCTGAAAGTGAAGGTCAGCACAAGGGATCCAGTTGCAGAACAACAACTTGAAGATCAAGACCTTTGTTGTCTGATTTTTCTCAGGCAAGCCACTTTTACAATTGCCATGACAGAAAGCAGTTTAAGGGTGAAGTCTGCCATTTGCCGAGCAATAGGAAAGCATTTTTCTGTGGCAATGTCATTATCTTGAACTTTTGCAGCAAAGAAAAAAAAAGAAAGGTTTATCTATAGCTGTCTATCAAGCGAACTGTATCTGATGAGAAGTTCCCAGAACATTTTCTCCTCCAAACCAGCTGAGGCTACACAGACCCAAACAATGAAGAGAAGATTCAGAGATGAGCTAGCCTCTCTCCTTCCTGTTAGCTCAGGCCATTCTGGGAGGAGTGAGACAAGGAGGTCAGGAAATTCCTGGCTTCTCTGCATTCACATCCGACCTTTAGCTGGATCTGAGGCTGTTCATCCCTTGCATGAGTTGTTCCTGACTAGTGTGTATGAAACAGCTTCTTAGTGATCTCTTCATTTGGAGGTGATGCTCACTGCCCCGGAGGTGGGGAAAGGTTTAACTTGTGTGCCCTCAGATTTCAGCTATGCCATGGACATCCAGAGGAAGACACTGAGCCTCTGAGCCTTCACACGTGTTCATAATGTACATGCTAACAACCAGACAGACTGCTGGAGAAATCTGCACACAGTAAAGTTGGGCAGGTCTGACATCCCACGAGGGGCTAAGCTGCTGATGGCCTCATAGGCACAGTGAGTGTCTTTGCTTTCCACCTCCTGGTTTACAGCGCTGTAAATCTCACAAGGGAAAGTCTCCCAGTGCAGAAGCTTACAGGCCAATTGAGGGTCCTGGCGGAGGCTACAGGGACAGACACTGGTACTTTTTTGACTTTTTAATCAGGTGTTTTGAACAATTTGTTTTCATAGTCTGGAAAGATCTGTTTGTGGTTCTTTAAACGCAACGAGATACGTGAGACACAGCGTAGGCCTGTGAGACTTTGTCTGCAAAAAGGAAATTGCGTTGGATGGCAGAGATTTTAACAGTGAACTATGGAAAAGGAAGAGGACCAGTGGTAATCAGTGATGTCTTGGCATGGTTTCCTGGGGACAGAAATGTGGCAAGTTTCCATAGATGCATCACAGTGAGCGTCTTTCATTCTTCCACCTGCGTAATTTGGCTTTCATGCTTACCAGCGTGATTCTCCTCCACTTTGTGCAGATGAAAATCAGGATTAGTTCTACTGATGTCAGTGCATTGGCTTTTCTGGAAACTGATAGGAGCTCAGTCAGCGCTGAGCCCTGTGCTGAGCTTTAATCTTTGTGCCGCCTTCGCAGAATGGCAGAGGTCAGAAGACCTGGAGGGCACATAGAGCATCCTACGTGCCCTGGGCAGGGTATGCACCTTGGCAACTCACATTTTGAATACCTCCAAGGATGGAGGCTCCACCGGCCCTCTGGACAGCCTGCACCGGTATTTGATCAGGCTCATAGCAAAGAAAAGCTCTTCCTTCTGTTTAAATGGAATTTGCTGCATTTTGGTTTCTGTCTGTTTCCTTCCATCTCTTTGCTGCACAGCACCACGTGCCTCGTGAGCCTCGATTTTGCTGTGCTTGGAGCAGCCACCTGTCAGTGAGCTGCCTTCACTCGGAGAGAGGTGTCTGTCACCTGGCACGCCTCCTGTTTTGGGGGCTGCATTTAAAGAGCTGCTGGCTTGGCTTTTGGAAGTGGCAATGTTTGCTGTGCTACCAAGTTATCTGCAGCTAAAATCACAAGATGCATCAGGCGTTGGCCCGCTCTGATAAGAGTTTCCTAATGATGATCTGTGTACCCCGCTAGATGTACTTGCTGCCCTGGCAGCAGAGGATTGTTTTGCCTTGTTTCACCAGCTAAATCTTGTATCTCAGTCCTTATTCTTCCGGCCTGCTTGATGGAACTGGGTTTCTTTTGACATTCATGCACTTCTGAATTTGTTGGGTTACAACGTACCACATTAAACACTCCGTGTCCTGACAAAGAGAACTCTTCTGAGGACATAAGATTTACAGAGTGCCAAACCTCAGCATGGGGCAGGCCAGGCACAAAGCAGGGGCACAGCTGAATGCTCCTACACTATTCTAGCTTTTCTACATAGGATGCCTTCGGAAGCAGAAGTGCCAGAAGTGCTGTAAATTTGCATCAATTTATGTTGGGAATTTTTGGCTAGGATACGTGGGGACACTGGGGATTGAAAATTGCAGAGCACGAAACTGATTTTGTCTATCTAAGAATAGGAGCGTAACCATAGTCTGCTTGCCGCGCTGCATCCACCAGTCTGCCTTGGGAAGGCTTTAATCTGAAGTCTGATCTATTTTTAGCCTGATATCTTCTCCAGACAATGTGCAGCTGTCCCGTTAGTTTTATGCCAGAAATTAGTAACACTTGCATGATTCACAAGTTAGCTGTAATTGCACAGAAAAAATCTGTGGCAAAATACGACCGTTGTACACATAGCGCAGTACTGTACAGCACGGGAGGTTCACGATCACTGTGTCGTCGTGCTATGAGCTTGACAGAGCCATGGCCTGGACTGACAGCCAGGAGCTCACGGCTCTGTTCCTGTCTTGTTCCCCCATCAGCGTTGTCCCTTGGGGGGCCTTGTGGCACCTGGCTCCATACCTGAGGGGAGCTGAGGCCCTGCAGTGGTTGTGTAAGACAAAAGCCAACGTTGGTACGGCCTGAGCTCGCCTATGGGTTGTTCAAAGTCCCAGAGTATGGGAAAAAATAGAATTAATCAACCTTTGGAGGCTTTGATTGTATGTTTAGTCAATGGGAGGGATTTCCTGCTTTTTACCGCGCCGTTTAAGAGGTTTACTTTCTGGTTAAAGTCAAATAAACACACGTAGGATCTGACTTAATCCCATTTAGAGCGCATTGCTGGGGAAGAAGCCCAAGTGTTTGGTTAAGGTAGGAACCTGGAAGTTGGGCTCGGGGTCTGATCCTGCCTCTGAGCTCATATGTGAACTTGTAGCAGGGCAGGAGCAGGACAGGACATGTTGGCTTTGGTGAAATACCTCACACGTTTGACATCTTGTTCATTCAGCAGATGAATAGTGCGTGTCTGCAGAACATGACGACTTGCATAGATGTTTTTACTCCTAATCTCCAGGTTCCTGTAGGGCATGCACACAGAGGGAGTCGTGGCTGCTCCTTGTGGCTGCTTCTCCTGCCTCAAAAGCGTCCCATCCACGCAGAGAATTAAGAAAGGGCTAAACCTCCAAGTTGCTGCCTGTGCTGCAGAGTCCATTCCTCGATAGAGGGAATAAAAGCACCGGCTGTGGATGATGTGCTCACTGTGTGGTTTGGGCTAAAACAGAAAGAGAGCTGAATCCCTCAGGTGACCAGGGGCCTGGAGACTGGGGATCATTGCTATACTTTGTTGTGCAGCCAGCAGGACAGGGTACAAGTCTTGCAGCTGTGTTAGCAGGGCAGAGTGTCTAAATGCAGTGTTTCCACCCCCAGTGCCCTGCGCTTCAAAAACCGAAGCAGACAGGTTAAAGTGATGCCAGGGAAAGGAAAGTAAATAACTGCCTGAAATGCCAGTTTGAGCAGCTGGATATCAGGTCAGGAGCTGTAACATAGAGATCCACTCATCTCAGTTTCCTCAAGCAAATACGCCGTGGACAGTGCTGAAGTTCTGTCAGACTGAAGGAAAACCTGCCTCTCCCACTTTGGCAGGTTCTGTTTTTTCTGTTTGCATGGAAAGGAAGTTGTACTTTCTGCATTAGCCAATATCGTGTTGCTCATAACGAAGAGGAGGGAAGAGGGGAAGAAAAACAATTTGAAACACGATAGAGAGGCAAACTGAGGTGGTTTTGCTGCTAATCCGCAGTCAGTTATTTCACACATTAGGAAGACCATTGCTACGTAGAGATTACCAAAGCCTCATACCAAGGTCAGATAGAAAGAGAGCCTTGATGACGTGGGTGGGGAATTCTGTAATGACCACATTTTGTAATCTGGAGACCTTGTGCTTCTCTCCAGGATGTGTTCTGGAATAGCTCTCTTATTAACTCCTTGTGCTTATCCTGCTTCATAGAGCTCCTCCTGATTTTTTAGTGAAACCAGAATAAGCTGCTCTTATTTTGAATTAGCAACTTGTTTAGCACTATTTTCCCTCTTCATTCACCTTACTTTCATCCAAACGAATTTTCTTTTGGAGGCAAAGCTGAAGAGTGTGCTGTGGTGTGTCCCTTCGGTTTGATTCCAGCGGGAGCAAGATAGGTCACCCTGCCAGACTCTGTGCTTTGTCCCTTCTGGGTGGGCAGCAGCACACGCTGCTCTCTGCTGCTCCATGTTATTGTTCTTATAGAGAAGCAAATATGTCTTGTGATAACAAGAATAAGTGAGTTTGTGATTTACATGACACAGCCAACACTTCAGCTGTCGTTCTGGACGTTCATCTGTCTGTGATCTGTCTGAATTGCCCACTTGTATTCCAGCATATATTTTTTAGTGCTCTTTAACCTTTTGCTTTCTAGGCCTCTGGATATTTTTGAGGGGGTCTTGTGTCTTCCTAGGGGAAGTTATGCCCCCTGAAACAGAGCTTGCTTTGCTTAGTTGTTTTTCACAAACTCACACATAGTCTTTGGACTCAGAGGCCCATCAGCTCACGCTGAAATTCCACGGTGTACATCATTCCATGGTGTCTCATCCTGAAAGGCTGTTTCCAGTGACTGCCAATGTGACCCATGTAATTTTCTTCAGTGGGATTATGAGCAGGAGGTGAATCAACTTTTTACAAGGGTAGACAGTGATAGAGCAAGAGGGAAAGGTTTTAAGCTCAAGGAAGGAAGGTGTAGATGTTTGGAAGGAAGGTTTGGATGTCAGGGGGAAGTTCTTCACAGGTAGAGTGGTGAGGTGCTGGCACAGGCTGCCCAGGGAGGCTGTGGATCCCTGGAGGTGTTCAAGATCAGGTTGGATGTTGCCCTGAGCAGCCTGGTCTAGTGCCAGAGCTGGAGGTTGGTGGCCCTGCCTGTGACGGGGGGTGGAACTCGGTGATCCTTGGGGTCCCTTCCAGCACAAGCCATTCTATCATTCTCTGAGTCTATTACTATCCCACGTTGGTGAAGAAGGCTTCTGCCCCACGAGCGACTGTATTTCTCAAAGGCCTCCTTGCTCCTTTCATTGTCTCTAGGCTGTGGGACTGAACCTGTTGCTTTCACAAACCTTAGCATCTCAGCTCCAGTGAGTGTTCCAGTTTTGGTTCCTTGCCTAATGGCTTTTACTGGAGGACAAGATCACACTGAATAAACCCAAGAGGATCCAGGAAATAACACTGTAGATTTGGAAGTTGTCTTTCTTGACTTGTCTAACAGGAGCCTGTACCGTGAGAATGATCACTGCTTCTGATGGTTCTTACAGATAAGCTGCCTGAACCTTGCATTTAGCCAGGAAGAGGTAATAGGACCCAAGAAGAAAAGGAAGGTCAGTGAACCAGAGAAGCTGCTTCTGGAAGGCAGGAAATGATGTTTGTTTTGCCACACAATGCATTTCAGAAGGTGTGAGTTTGTGTTGCCATCTGACTGGTAAAGACCTTAATTCTCTCCTCATGTTTAACTCTCCACATGCCACACGTATTTCTGCATACTTTGTCTTGTACAAAGTTTGGATTGCAAGGAGGCAGCAGGCACCACAGCTGTCATGACTGCAGGCCAACAGCACTTGTTTCATGTTTTAAAGTTGAGGATTGGTGATTTCATGTGGACAGGATCTGTGTGCTTCTTTCTGTTTTGTCTCCCTCCCTCCCACCACACACATCCCACTGGCTAAATTTGTTTCTCTCTGGCTGGGCTGTCCCTTGCCAATATGTTATCAATATCAACAGCACTATTTCAGGATGAGCTCTCTGAGATATCGATGGCAGCAAACAAGTTTCATGATTCATTAGATTATGCTTCATTCTATCTACTCTTTCCGGAGCATAGATTTTATTTTATTTTTTTCAGAGAAGGGTTTTTATCTATATTGAATGCAGAGATAAAGTAATCTATACACATTTTCTGCTGTTGCTGCTGAATGTTGTTTTTTCTTTCTGACTCTGCAAGTAGTGTTGCTATGGTTATAATATCAACTTACTTCTGAAGCAGCAATCCACTTCGTACCAAGAGGCATAGTTACCCAATACAGCTGGTGTTGAAACACACCATGTTTCAAACCTAACTTTTATAAAGGTACCTCTTGATGGCAAATATAGGTGAAGAGAGCAGCAGCAGTAAAAGAAAGAATTTGTCCTTTGGAGCAAAGGTGCTGTGTTTTCTGGCGTGTTGATTGCCTGGCTGACACTCTGCCAAGTTATTACTGGAGAGGTGTAAAAACCTAATGGTTATTATTGGAGTGAAGCAAAATGATCTTAGTTAGTCTTAAACACTGTAAAAATGATTTTCAGAGAACAAACTCTGCATTACTTTATACTTTATAAGAAAAGAGATAATGAAATTTGAAATGCCAAAGAAGGGGATTTAGAACGTCTTCCCAACACAAAGTTGATCTTACACGATGGAGATGGGATGGGGAAATGAAAAAGCACTAGAATGCAACGTAGTGTCCCTGGTAATATAGCAGCATTCCTGGCATTTTTGATACTCATCAGAGACATTTCAGGATGGGGCTTGAAGGGCAGTAGTGGTTTGGGGTACAAGGTGTTCCTTTTGTGGCCTGTGTCAGCTCCACAGAAAGGATTGCTTGGCAGGTACATGAAGCCAGATGCAGGCTTCTTGGGCCAGGCACCCGAAGGAGCTGGCTGACTGGCTGGGTGTACAGCCCTCAATGTTCAACTGACCTCCTCCAGGTAGCTGAATAAGGCACTGCAATCCTAATTCTAATGCCACCCCTGTCCTTCCTTGGGCAGACAGACTGCTGGCAGCCCCTCAGCCCACAGCAGTGTCTGGCAGGTTTCGTGGCCTAATGCCTGTTTCACAAAACTTGTAGAACATGAGAGTTCTCCATTTTATCCTCACTTTCAGTCCCGAGTCCTCACATCTGCACCTGTGGCCTAATAAGCCAGTTTGTTCACATGCCAGAGCAAACCAGAAAGCTTCCTTCTGCCCAGATTTTGTAATGGTATTTACTCTCATGCCTGCACATCCATGGGAGGCCTGCGTTCTTTGAGCTCAGCTACGGCTCGGGACCTGCCTTGACCTGAAAGCTGTGCCCTGGTGCTCCTGGAGGTTGTGGTTCTGTGTTTCTTCAGCCTGCTGGCTCCTGCCTGCCCCCAAAGCCTCGTTATGTTGTTGTATTGTGCGTACAGGAGAAAGACAAACAAGCCTGTGGTTATGGCTACTAGAGGGAAGCCTGTCAGTCTGCCTTGTGCGCACCGGAGAATGCAAAGTGTCCTGTCCCGCAATGAAAGTGAAGGAGGCTGTCTCATGTTACCACACAGTGAGAGTGAGCACACAGACACCACAAGTGAATCCACAGCTGAGAGTGCTGCCCTGCTTGTAGCCATGGCCAGAGGCTCGCTGGCTCAGTGCGCACTGCCTTGTAATCAGCTATTTTACGGTAACGACTTCTAGTCATTTTCATTTCAGGCTTGGTTAGAAATAAAGTGACTTGTGATGAACTGCCACAGTAAGCGTCTGATTTTTCTTTCCCACAAGCTTGTGGTTACCACCAGATTCTAAGAAAAGTCTTTCCACTGCAGATTGGAATCATCTAAGCCACTTACACGTATCCTTTTATTTATTGGTGATTCTGCTCGGCCAGCTAAAGGTAAAAAAAAAAACACCTCTTTCTTGTATTTCAGGCGCATTTCTAGTTAACACTCATTAACTGACTTCATGTATGTTACACATCGTCAACCTGATTCACTACTGACATAAAACAGAAGCAATTCGTTAGTAACGGTCCCCTGCCAATTAGTGAACTAAATTACGTTTGAACAATTTTCTTCAAAGATTCTCCTCCTCCCCCCAGTGCATCATTTGGCAAGTCCCCTGCATGCTTACAGTAATTATGTGCGTGCAGTGAAAGGAGACTGTTACCTCTTCAAGCAAAATAAATGAATATGTGATCTTTGTGTTAATATAACAATGAGTAATACAAAGAATCACAGACATCCTCCCTTTGATCTGCCAGAGATACAAGCAGCAATTAAGACGACAAGCCGTTTTAAAACCCTGAATATTGGGAAGGTTCCGTGAGGGGAAAGCGATTGTTGGGTAGGGTTTTCAGACAACTGGTGAAGAAGGGGAGCCCTTCTTGTCCGTGGTGACCGCAGGCCTTTGGGCAGACGTGCTGTGGGTATCCTGGCACCTGCCGAGCCACCAACAGGTTGGTGGTGCTTCTAAAAATCGTTCCCTCTTTCTGGGATAGCGTTTAACAAGAAGAGTGGTATCTCTGTTTCAAATTGAAAGTCAAACTGAAGTCAAACGGAAAACGTTTAGCATTGTCTCAACCACATCCTTAAATATATTGGCCGCAGCGAGAAAATAACCCTGAGCTCTGCTGCCATGCAGTGATGGTGGGGACAGGTGTCAGGTTGGTTTAACGTGAAAGCTGAGGATTCTTTTGGGATTTCCAGTGCCGCATGAGATCTAGGAAATCAGCTCATCTGACTTTCGGATTTGGAAGGAGCGCAGAAAGAAGAAATGAAACATGACACATGAGTAGGAGAAACGAAGACACTTTCACACTTTTAAAAAGCGTGAGAGTTAGGAGCTTTGACATTGATTTCAGTGGAGCATGGGGGAGCCTCTGCCCGCAGTGATACCCACAAAGCAGAAATCATATATTGTCAGCACTGCCCAAATGAGATGGGCTATCATTTTTTCCCCACTGGATTTCTGTAGCCATACCCTTGAATTATCTTGACTATCCCTGATATAAATGGGATTGGAAACCAGCTGGTAGTTTTCACGAGTCCAGTTCTAATAATGAACCTTTATCTGAAGAACTGTTCCTTCAGGTTATTCTCTCTTGGCTGAGACTTTAATTTTCAGACTTTCTGCATTTTTCCTCTTTAGTCAGCAGGTAAAGTATGTAGTCGTGGCTGCCGGAGCCGAGTGCCTGCATTTGTCATGCCACAGAGCTGCCATTCTCAGGGGCCAAGATCTTTGTGCCAGCAGCATCGTGTCACCCCAATGGAATCCCACCCACGTGTGGTGCTGGGCAAAGTCTTTTTTGTTAATGGATGAGTAAAATTGCATCTGGCTTTTGTTGTCATCACGAGGTAAGTAAGAGGGATTTGCATCTGAGCTGGCACACTTTCTGTAGGCAGCTTCCAAGGCTAATTTCAGGCAGGCTGGCACGAATATCCTTCCTTTACACAGAGACTGAGGCTCGGAAGCCTCATAGGAGTTTTCCATAGGAAACACCGCCCTGGGTATCCGTGTGCCAGATGTGCTCCTATGGCATTTCCCTGCACATCAATGACCTACTGTTCCAGCACGGAATCGATCGGCCACACGATCAACCCACCCCCACCATGCCCACTGCCCATGTCCCTCAGTGCCACAGCTGTGGAACACCTCCAGGGATGGTGACCCCACCACTCCCTGAGCAGCTGTGCCACTGCCCAACCGTTCTTTCTGAGAAGAAATGCTTCTTTAATATCCAGCCTGGTATCTCCAGCTGGTGTCTGCTACAGCTCTTGGGTCATCGTACCGGACTGGATGTCGCACAGTGGAGGCACTCACCATTGCTTTGGGGGCCACAGAACCAGGAATCAGAGGGGCTTTGGTGGTCCCCTCTGGCAGGAGCAGCACAGGCGGCTCAAGATGACTTCAGTCTATCACTGGCTGGCTGGGTTTGCTTCCAGCCCACTCCGTCTGCTTCCTATGGAGTCAATGAGCCAATGGAGCCAGGGGAATGATGAATAGCATCTCGAGGCCGTGGGACAGGGAGTGGACCTCGTCTGGGTTCTGACAAGGACATCATCTGGGCACTGAACTGCCTGCAGAGCAGCCTGCAGCGGGCAGGAGGCCACACAAGGGAAACCCCAAACTACCTTGGGGTCCTTCCATGGCGGTGAATCAGCACAGGCTCCAGACATGAGGAAGGTATGGGTAAGCGTGGCGGCTGGACAAAGCCTTGCTGCCTCCAGCAGCCAAGCATTTCCTTTGGCTTGTGGTCATCTGGCTGTTACCTGGCTTCCCTGCCGATGCAGTGGAATTATGCTGAGGTAAAAAGGGAAAGAATTGGGTCGGCTGCCTGATGACATTTCCTTTTTATTTTATTTTCAATGTATTGCACAGAGAGCTCAGCCTGGGCTTTGGAGGGGTAGAAAGAGCCAAAAAAAAAAAAAAAAAAAGGCAGAAGGAGCAAACAAACTAAAAAGGAGACAACACACTCAGCATCTCTGCACCCATTGGTAGGCCCAGATGGGAGCACCCAAAGGCACATGAAGTCTGGAGAAGCTCGGGAGCTGAAGGTGACACGCAGGCAGCCCGTGGGGTTTGCAGAGCTCTGTGCAGAGCAGGGCCAGGCATAGGCACGGGTCTGACACAGATGTGCCCATTTTCTGCTTTCAGAGAGATGCCAGCTTGCGTGCAAGTCGCCGTGCTGGGGAGCACCATTACCTACTGGTTGCAGTGGATTGGCTGGCCCGCTTTCCTTTTCCCAGGCTGTTTTACAGAGCGCAAGATCTGAGTTACTTGGCTACAAGAGATTTTCTGCTCTGAAATTGGCAGCTGCTCATTCCAGAAGGGAATCAGCATATTTGGCCACTGCAAAGGAAGAGGGAAAACCATTATTTTTTCATTGCTCTTATTTAACTCTCCAGTGGGAGACACTGTACTTGGGTGACCCTCGTTACTAAGGCATTGCTAAGGCTTCCCTTTGCTTGAAGGTACAAAAGAAGATGTATTCAGGTCTCAAAATGCCTATATTCCTCTGGCTGGACTTGGGGCGGCCCGCTGCCAATTATCCAGTTGTGTCAGGCCTTACACAGCACTATATTCAACGTCACGGCTCCATGAGTCAGGATTTTCTTTCTAAAAGGGTTCACGTCAAAAGGGCCCGGCACAAAAATTCCCTATAGCCCAGCAACAGAGCGTGCTGTGTAAGAAGCTGTGTGAAGAAAGAGCGCGATGAGCGGCTCAGATAGCTCAGCCCGGGCATCCTTCCATGCTGCACAAAGGCAGCACTCAGCACCGCTCATGACTCAAGGGCTGCGATCGCTGCTGTGGGGTGAAACCCGTGGCTCAGTGCCAGCGTGCCCACAGGGTGCCCTTTGGGTGCCCTTTGGATACCCATTGGGTGCCCTTTGGATACCCATTGGGTGCCATTTGGGTGCCCATGGTCTCGCTCGTTTTTTTGGGGTGCTGGGGGTCCCGCGTCCCAAGGACAGTGGGCGGCTGTTTGGTTTTTGCTGTCTTGCAGATCAGCCTTTCCCCCGCTTTCCGCCCTCAATTTCATTAACCCCTCGGGACATGTATCATCTGAAGGCCTTTGCGAAGGAGGCTGAGCATCACGATTTCCCATTGCCAGGAGGGTGAAATCGTAATCGCAGCTGGAAGTGACTCTCCTGAGGTCACACCACTGTGAGGTGGCCCCTCGAGGTGCAGTCATCAGGCGCTTATCTGGAGTATCTACTATTGCACACACTTTGCTCTGTGAGGAATTTCCTCTCTTAATCCAGGATCCTGCCGGAGTCTGGCAAAGCAGCGTTCCTCTCCACGTCTCACCTACATCTCCTTTATTCATTTAAAGCCATTCCACATGGCTTGCTGTTGGGGCCAGCCCTGCTTAATATCCTTATTGATGATCTGGTTGAGGGAATTGAGTGCACCCTCAGCAGGTCAACAGATGAGACCGAATTGGGGGAAGTGCCGATCTGCCCGAGGGCAGGAAGGCCCGACAGCGGGATGAGGAGAGGCTGATGGATGGGCTGAGGCCAACGGGATGAAGTCCAACAAGACCCAGGGCCATGTCCTGCACATGGGGATGGGTTGGCAGTTAGACTTGTTGATCTTAAAGGTCTTTTCCAACCTTGATGATTCCGTGGTTCTGTCATTCTCCCTCGTCTTATTGCTGTCAGTGTCCCTGAAGGAGGATGTTTCACCCAAGTGCTGGAACTCCTCCTGATGGAAATTGTGCCCCAGTTTGAGATGTTGGAGGGCTCCAGCTGAAGGGCAGCACCCCTCAGTTCCCCATTTGGTCCCTGAAGAGACCTCAGCCCCTTTGCCATGGCAATTCATAGCAGAAACCCAGGGACTCTGCTGTGCCCTGTGTGGGATGCTGAGAGCTCTGCACGGGCAGATCATTTTCTGTCTGTGCAGCACGGTGGCTTTGCACCTCCTTTGGAGCATCTGGTACTGGTTAGTGCCCAGCGGGCTGTAGGTCTGATCTGGCACTTCCTGCACTCCTTTGATCTTAAAAAAAGATTCAGCCACCGCGTGCTGGTGCAGCAAGGATGAGAAATGTGCTGCCCTCAGTGCTTCTGCAGCCTCAGGAGGAACAGAGCCGCTTCCCTTGTGTCAGGCGATCGCGGGATGAGAGCTGACTCCTGCTGACCTTGTGGTGTTCCCCATAGGCACAACCTGGGAACAGCAGGGAGAGCGCATGGGCTTCATCCTTGGGATGGAGTCATAAGGAAGCCCACAGGTTGGAGAGACTTCAGAGCCTAGC